CCATGTGGCTTCAATTATTTTACAATGTTTGCGCTTAATTCTCATCACGGCGATCCACCACTTGCAAATGTGTACACCTTTATTTTTTGCATTATATTGGTAATATTTTGCTTTATGCCTTAATGTGTAATTGAGCTGAATTATTGAAATGCATCTTACTGCCCTTTTTGTTTTTAATACTTCAGACATGTTAAGTTCTATGCTATATATATAATGCTTTGTATTACATGTTATATATTGTTATGGGCTAAAAGTAACCATAAGGTTACCTGTAATAATTTTAAATTACACTTGTAGTCTAAAACCCTCGCCACACGGTGTTTAACCCAAACCTAATTGTACAAAATATCTGTGATATCTTTTGATACCCGCAAATGTTATAATATGTTCGTAAATAAGATAAATTAAATAAATATTATATTTATTCATTTACATCGTTGATTTGCTATGTTTAAATGTTCTAATACTTAACTTGAGGTCCCAGTTTTTTAAGTACTCGATTTGCGCTCCACACACTCACGTCTATTAGACGTAGAACGTGTGTATTTAATGTGACTATAGGCAATGATAGGATAATATGTCTAGAGTTGATACACAATGCAGTGTTGGGGGGAGGTAGTTTAATTAGTCTCAATGGGGTAAAGTTTAAGTAAAATCTTAGAGCAAAAATTATATTTTACACAAGACTGAAATTTTATCACCCACCAACAGCAATGTGCTATTTATAGTCCTTCATTATCTCATATGCCTTATGCATTACTCTCTAAGAACAGCCTGGACTATTATCTGAAGAGTCATTCAATAATAACTTAACATTGATAAAGATTACGTTAAGAAACTTTACTTTTCAGGAATGACGCATACTAAAAGCTTATTACAGTGAATAATAGCCTACTATAATATTAGAGTTTCGTAATTTATCAAAGCTTCTTTTAAAACCTATAAATTATTCATATAATTATATTGATAATGAATATAGGCTACACAGAATACATAAAACTTATATTACCAAAAAAAACCCAGATTAATTTAAAACAAATAGCATTAACAACTTAAATTAAGAAACACAGTCTAGTACTTGACAACAAACGCATGTATTTGTTTATTTGGTAAACGGAAAAAAAGTCACAGGAAAAAAAAACACAGAAAAAAAAGTCACAGTTTTTGCTAGGAAAAAAAGTCACAGAAAAAAAGTCACAGTGGAAAAATTTTATCGGAAAAAAAGTCACAGAAATAAAGTCACAGAAAAAAAGTCACAAAAATCTTTTTAGAAATATTTTTATTAATTTGTTAAGAATTGTAAAATTTTGTATGTTTATTGTTGTGTGTTGTATTTTTTTATAGCATAAATTATTTATAGACGTTAAAAGCATTATGATTTATAACAATTGTAAGTAAAAATACTCTAAGATAATTAACACAACAATCTCAACTTTTGTTACGTATTTAGTTAAATACGCGGTAGAAAAGTTAATTATAAAAGAAATTTCGGCAAATTTTGCCGTAGGCTATTCTCTGGTCGGCCTCTCCTCAGTAGGCATTGTCCGAACATATTTTGTGTTGTTGACGTTACGCGTCAATGACAGCCTTTGAACCTTGTCGGCTTTCTGTTTTGATCCTAAGTTTTGTTATGTAATGAGCGTGATAAATGTGGGCAGTAAAGGTGGTTGAACTAAACATAACTATTGTTGCCATGAGTTGAGGGCAGCGAGTCAGATGAACTAACCATTTCACAGTAATTTAATATTGGTATTTAAAAAAAAAAACACGATGAAAACCGTGGACTTTGGAGCATTTTATTAAATGCTACTAATCTTAAGTTTAACATAATTACAATCAACATACTTCATAATAAATATTTTTAGATGAATTATAAAAATTCCTATGCGTATACAGCCTACACACATTACATTATATTCAATTAATCCTAAGTTGATTTGCACTCTAAATATTTAATACATAAAGGTATTAACAAATATCACGCAAATATATATTTGTGACTTTTTTTCCTGTGACTTTTTTTCCTGTGACTTTTTTTCCTGTGACTTTTTTTCTGTGTTTTTTTTTCCTGTGTTTTTTTTTCCTGTGACTTTTTTTCCTACAATCGTTTATTTAGGCCAATAAGTCTAGAGATCTATATCTATAGGCCAGATATTTTTTTATTTATAATAATGCTAAATGTAATATTTTTGAGTTTTTAAAAGATCTTTCAATACTTTTATAGTTTTCGGTATTTACAATAAACGTACTGCGTTTGTCAATGTAAATTCATTGCAAGCAAAGCAAAGTCATCAGACGTGACGACTGAATGCAGAAATCTGGAGGCTAGAGATCAGGATCTAAATTAATCTTTTTGAAAATCTAAAGAAAAGCACAATGAATTCAACAATGGAACTTAAAACTAACATTTTCTTTGTATCCAATGTTGAATTTAAAGCATAAAGCAGGTAAAAGTAAAGTAAAACTTACTACTAGAATTGAATCTCTCTCCAACTCTGGCCGGAGCTTTTCGGCTGTTTACCCAGTCACAACCATTCAGACCAGTTTATAATAGAATGATCTGCCATTGGAAAGCCGGGGGGGGGGGGGTGCTTATTTAGAATTTAGGTTATTGAAAGAATTGGAAATCACTGCCTTGAACTGCATTTCCATTCAACACCATTTCATAACACTACACTAAACACTTTGTGTTGTCACTACTGATTTACTGATTTAGCAGCTTACAGTCTACTTTTTAGTTACTTAATTCTAGATCTAGAATTCTATTAGTATTGTATTACTAGTATTAGGCCTAAAAATACTAATTTTTTTACTAGACTAGATCTACTCTTTGCACCAGCACAAAATATTAGATATTCTAGCTAAATCTACTAAGTTTTCAATTTAAACATGACCACTGAATAATGAATATTGTGAATAATACTAATAGTTAAATAGGCCCAATACATCCATAGTATTAGTTAATCCATTGAGATTTTTAGCATGTTTTTAACTAAATGACTTAATTTAACCCTCTTAAGATGAAGCTTTATTAGAGAGCCGGTGCTAAGAAGACTGAGCCTACTTTCAAGTTTTGCACTTGTATCACAAAAAATCTTTTGAAAAAAATAAACTAATTATTTTACATGCATAAAAATATATATTATTTTTTAGGAAATTGAATAAGCTAATATGATTTTTATAAATCTAATAAAAAACTCAACATATAAATATGTGAGCTTTCTGATTTGCATAATTTATGCACGAAAAAAATTTGACTGAACTAAATTACAGTAAATTTGTATAAAAATACGTTTTTTCTCTCCGTAATGCTAATCTATATAATACACAAACATCTATTCAATAATCTGAACTAATTTACTGATTACTATTTCTACCTTCGAATTTCTAAGTATATTTTAAATTATTTTTAGTATATTTTGATGACTGGACTGTTGGATATAAGAAAATTTATGATAGGACTCACGGCACTAAAAAAATCGATAAAAAAAAAAAAAAAATGAGGCAGACTTTCAATGAGAGCCGCCATTGAAGTGCTAGATATTTACTAAAACAGTTAGAAGCAATCTGATTGGCTGATATGATACTAGAAACCAATCGTGTGGCTTCTACTATCACGGCTGAGACCTGGCCGATAGATCGGCCGCTCGTCTTTTTGGCTATAAAACCGGCGGCAAATAGATCGGCCCGGGCATCTCAAGAGGGTTAATATTTATTGTCACTCTCTGCCATGGCATGGCACACCTTTCCATTACAACAATGTTATTTTACTCTTACGTTTGAAGCCACGGCAAGCTACAAATCAGTTCGACTATTTAACTGGCTATGCACTAGAGCTCCTCACTAGTGATCAACCAAATAGGGTTTACGTGGTCTATTAAAAATAAAACAAAAAATTGCTTGTGATTTGAGCGCCAGTCTTATAAAAAAAACAGCTCACAATATTTTATTTCTTTTTTCATAGACTGATTAACCTAATAATGCTTCACTTATTCGCTCTTTTTTGTACCTACTCTGTTAATATTTTAAAAGTTCTATTGATTTTAATGAAACTAGCTTTTAAATTTAGCCTCCACTCTCCAAAGCAAATTTTTCCAAAAGCTTTTCTGGCATATTTATATAGTCCTGCCACATATCTTTTGTTTTAAAACACAAAAACTTGCCATTTTGTTCATAGTAAACATTAAAAGTAATTCTAAGAAGGTCAGTGGAAATATTGCAAAAAATTGTCGGAAGTGGACGCCATATTGTTGTTAGCAACATGCCCACCTCCAGGTTAGCGAGCAATACTACATAATATGTATATTTATATTTAAGTTTAACTTCATTTATTTGTGAATAAGGTTGGAAATTCTGGTAAACTATTATTAACTCTCTTCATTACCATACCCATAGGAAGCTCATTATGATAGTGGCTTCACATCAATAGTGGACCTGGACCAAATCTTTGTTTTAATTACCTCAGTTCATAGTTATTCAAGATATCAAAACTTTAAAAATCTATTCATTTTATTATTCACACCTCTCCCATGTATTACTTTTGTACGCAAGCTGTAAATATGCTGATCTCAAACATAATCAAATAGTTAGCTTGTTAATTTTCATCCAGTTTAAAATTTCATTAAAATCACTTAAAATTAACCATTTAAAAATAATCACCTGTCATTTTTTAATCATTGATTTTTTTGGTAATAGTTTTAAAGGACAACTAACATTAACATAATTAAACTTTTACCTAAAATTTAGATACTATACTAACAGTTATTTTTTATAAATGGTTTGAGGTTCATTCAGTATAATATTTTATTTTACAGGTCTACTTTGGCAATTATGGCTCAATAAATTTAGCGGCTTGGGAGAGCCCATGATGGGCCCCTTGCCGCAGTCAAGGATGCTTCACTTGTGATAAGCTGCTGCCTTAGGGGATACATTCATGTGATGTTGTAAAGAGTGATATTTTCTCTGCTACTTAAAAACATTGACTCTTGTTGTTATCATTCATACCTGAAGCGAGCACAATGGCACCTACACTGTTAGAGAAGCAGTGCTGTGCTAAGTGCAGGTCACGTGCCCATGTGTATGAGATCATCTCACTGGTCATGTGCCCTAACATTACCCTTAAGGAGTTCCAGGTGTATTCATCCCTCTGCCACAACTGGGCCAAGCATACAGACTTTTATGGCAGGTCAGCATTGCATTTGGCTGCATCTTGTGGAAAAACTGAAATATTGGAATGGCTGTTAGAAGAAAAAAAACTGGATATGATGGTTAAAGATTTTGAATCTGGCTTCACTGCTTTACATAGGGCTATTTTTTATGGTCAACTTACTTGTACTAGAATGCTTTTGCAGGTGAGGAAATCTTTTTGTAAATAAAAGTTAATACATTTTATTTTTAAAACTTCTGATTTGATGTTACGAGTGTTTGTCTATAATGGATTTGTATATTTCTCAATCTGCAGTACAATTGTGACACACATGTGAGAGATTATGAAAGCCTAACCCCATTAGATATAGCAATGATGGACAGACCACCTCATGTGACCTTCACATTAAAAGGTTATTTTCTTTCCCTGTTTCTATCAGGTCTATTCATTGGAATTCTAAATAAAGAAATTTGACATTTTTAATCTTTAAAGTTTTGAGAATTATTTCCTACTAAAAAATTTTTTTAAAAACTAAAAAAAACTTAAGTTAATCATATTGGTAATTTTGACATCTTTTTAAAAAGAAGATAACATTTTGTTCACCAACCATAGAACCCAGCGAGGTCTACACCTGGGGTGAAAACAATAACAGCACTCTGGGTCATCCCAGCCCTCACAAGAGAACATCTCCTGAGGCTGTGGAGGTGTTCAAGAAATCAGGGGTGTCTCTCAAGCAGGTAGGTTATCACATTGGGGGGAGGGGTGTCTCTATCACTCCCACAATCTCTGTCACAGTTGGGGTCTCTATCACTCCCACAATCTCTGTCACAGTTGGTGTCTCTATCACTCCCACAATCTCTGTCACAGTTGGGGTCTCTATCACTCCCACAATCTCTGTCACAGTTGGGGTCTCTATCACTCCCACAATCTCTGTCACAGTTTGGGGTCTCTATCACTCCCACAATCTCTGTCACAGTTTGGGTCTCTATCACTCCCACAATCTGTCAAAGTTGGGGTCTCTGTCACTTACATAATTTCTGTCAGTCTAATTTTCTGTCAAACATTTGAGCCCTTAAACTGGCTGACAACTTCCTTTTATTTTGTTGTTGAACAGATATTGATACAAAATCATTTGCTTAAAGTACTTAAGACTATTATTTGTTACTGTCCCTTCCTTTACCCTATCTCTGATCCTAATCCTGTCCCTTAACAATGAACCTCACAAATAAAATGTTTTACAAGATTTTGTATTAGCCTGTGAGTATTGATATAAGAAGCTTAAGCTTTGATGTGTCATTAATGTAGCAACTAAACATTGGCTTCACCAGATAGTCCTGTGTAAATACCACAGTGTGTTTCTCTCACAAAGTGGACATGTCTACACATGTGGCCACGGTCAGGGTGGAAGGCTGGGGCACACTGACCAGCACACAGTTTTGGTAAATATTGTCATATTGCCCTGTTCTTTTTGTAAATAGTGTCTTCCATTAGAACTTTATTTTTAACGACAGAAATAAAACTAACTGTTAAGACATTTTCATATATTTTATGCTAGTATTAAATTATAACTTTTATTTTTGTATTGTCTAGAGGGCAGGTTAAGGGGCAGCAAAAGTTCAAATATACTGAATTGAAAATGTTTTTATTTGTCCATACAGGTCCCAAGACTACTGGACAGTGTTAAAGAATACACTTGTTTAGAAGTAGCTGCAGCAACAGACCACACAGTTTTAAGGATGGGAGGGTAAATTTTAAATAGTATAACCAAACTTGTTTACATTCTTCTATCAACTAGATGATAGTACCCATGTTAATTGATTTTTCACATAACTTAAAGTGTGGATGAGAAACTTGTACTTAGAATTATGCATTGAGAGTCAGCAAGTAATATTTGTACCACTGGGTACCCCGTATGTTTCTAACCTTCATCCAGATTATGTCCGTGCAGCACATAAACAATAGGTAGCCAGGTAAATGTCTGGGTTTAAGGCTAATCTGTGCCCTTATAATTTCAGAGGGTTTGTGTACACGTTTGGCTTGAACACCTACCACCAGCTGGGACTTATGCCACATGCTGACACATGCCCTGAGCCAAGACAGGTCAGACAAGGCTGTATTTTTTTAACTTTTTTTTGTAGAGGAAATTCTTCGGTATCTATTGACTAGAGTCTAATTTGGATTATGATTGATAGTGTGTTAACATGTGTCTGAAGTACTGATGTAGTTTTGTGATCTAGATGAACCTGAAGCCCCTGAAAGGCAAGAGCATCAGTGGGGTGTGATTGGTAGTGTGTTTACGTGTGTCTGAAATACTGATGTAGTTTTGTGATCTAGATGAACCTGAAGCCACTGAAAGGCAAGAGTCTTAGTTGGGGTGTGATTGGTAATGTGTTTACATGTGTCTGAAATACTGATGTAGTTTTGTGATCTAGATGAACCTGAAGCCACTGAAAGGCAAGAGCATCAGTGGGGTGTGATTGGTAGTGTGTTTACATGTGTCTGAAATACTGATGTAGTTTTGTGATCTAGATGAACCTGAAGCCACTGAAAGGCAAGAGCATCAGTGGGGTGTGATTGGTAGTGTGTTTACGTGTGTCTGAAATACTGATGTAGTTTTGTGATCTAGATGAACCTGAAGCCACTGAAAGGCAAGAGCATCAGTGGGGTGTGATTGGTAGTGTGTTTACGTGTGTCTGAAATACTGATGTAGTTTTGTGATCTAGATGAATCTGAAGCCACTGAAGGGCAAGAGTTTTAGTTGGGGTGTGGTTGGTAGTGTGTTTACATGTGTCTGAAGTACTGATGTAGTTTTGTGATCTAGATGAATCTGAAGCCACTGAAGGGCAAGAGCATCAGTGGGGTGTGTGTGGGCAGGTTCCATACTGTTGTCTGGACACCCGACAGTGTCTTCACAGTTGGCCTTAATGCTGGACAGTTGGGTAAGTAGCTTTTTAAATGCCTGGTAGTATTTTTAAAATATATGTAAGTTTTAGTAAAATGGATGCGTTATATTAAAATAGTTTTTTTTTTTGTTTTATTGAAATGGTTGTGTTTTTTGTTTTATTGAAATGGTTGTGTTTTTTTGTTTTATTGAAATGGATGTGTTGTTTATTTCATTAAAATATGTAGATAAGGATTTCTCTCTATTGACAGGCCACCAAAGGGGAGAGCACTACCAAAGCACACTGCGCCAGGTTTCTTCCCTGCGTCACACAGACATAGGCATTGCCAGAGTGGCATGTTCTGATGCTGCCACTGTGTGTCTGACAACCAAAGGTGATGTGTATGTGCTGCATGAGTATCAGTGCAAGAAAATTGCTTCCAAGTAAGTGACTTGAGCTCTTTACATTTTAGCACTACACAGAACATTATATTTTGTGTATATGATCATTGAAAGTTTCAAACTTTTAGCAAATATTAAGTGGTCCCTGAGGGTTGTTACAAAAGAGAATAACTTTAAATGCAATTACACAGAACATAAGTTGCATGGGTACATACATTTTAATAGTCGTCACTTAATAAAGACTTGTCTTTTCTAGGCAGTGAATGGCCTTTAGGTCCTAATGTAAGAGTGTATGAGATAAAATAAGCAGATATAGACAATCTGTGTATAGCTATCATTCTTTTTTGGCAGGTGGCAGGATATTGAGCAGGTACTGGTCACTGGAGGTAATCTTGACCACTCAACTGGACTTGGTCTGTTGACAGAAAAAGGTGGACAAGAGCTGTTGGTCATGTTAAAAAATGAACCTGGACAGGTAGGAAAATCTGTGATTGTCTTAGTAAAACACCTAAATACCTATACTTACTGACACCTGTCATCTCCTTTGCTTTTTCAAATGAGGAACCATAGAATGGCTAGATAAGTATTGGTCTTAATTGAAAGAACATTATTTTACTATTATGGTAAAGGTTAAATTAATTAATGAATATTATTTTTCAGCTTTTTCTGTGGCGAAATAGTAGCCCAAGTCTGAAGCGATGCCAGTTTGGTTTTAAAAGACAGCTGTGGGTATCAGATGTGGCCATGACAACATCCTCCATCATATTCTGTACCAAGAGGGGGGAGGCTTTCATTGGTCAGTTGTCCAACAGGAAACCTGGTAGGGAGCTAGAGAGTAAACACACCAAGGAGTTGGTGAAAGGTGAGCCCTGTTTGTTGGTGGTGGAGCCCTGCTCTTTTTGTTAGAGCCCTACTGTTTGTTGTTGGAGCCCTGCTCTTTGTTGACCAAATTAAAAACTTTAACTGGAAAAAATGATTGAAAAACCAATGGCCTCAATGGCGCATAACCAGTTGACACGTAACGCTTAATTGTGTTGGAGGCGTGATCGAGTCGGCAAAAAGCTCATGGTTGATAAATTCGAACAAAATCTCGAGTTCAAACCCTCTGGCAGATAAATCTTGATCCCCTTCAACACTAATAATTAAGAACGAAGAAGAAGATTGAAAAACATCTGTACTGAAACACAAAGCTGGTATTCTATCAACACAGTTTAAGTTGTTCTACCAACCTTGTGTCCCCAGACTGTGGTGATGGCTTCAACCAGCCCCGCCTGCTAGATCTGCTGCTGAGGGACGAGGCTGAGGAGGTCTCCATACACAGGGTGCCAGTCGTACATAGGGCGGTCATGGTGGCTGTGGACCGCAAGGCTAGGAACTTCACTGTGGTACAGCCTCTACCTAATGGATGGTAAGGTTCATCAAATATTTGTTACTTAGTCCAGCCTCTACCTAATGGATGGTAAGGTTCATCAAATATTTGTTACTTAGTCCAACCTCTACCTAATGGATGGTAAGGTTCATCAAATATTTGTTACTTAGTCCAGCCTCTACCCAATGGAGGGTAAGGTTCATCAAATATTTGTTACTTAGTCCAGCCTCTACCTAATGGATGGTAAGGTCCATCAAATATTTGTTACTTAGTCCAACCTCTACCTAATGGATGGTAAGATCCATCAAATATTTGTTACTTAGTGCAGCCTCTACCTAATGGATGGTAAGATCCATCAAATATTTGTTACTTAGTCCAACCTCTACCTAATGGATGGTAAGGTTCATCAAATATTTGTTACTTAGTGCAGCCTCTACCTAATGGATGGTAAGATTCATCAAATATTTGTTACTTAGTCCAGCCTCTACCTGATGGATGGTAAGGTTCATCAAATATTTGTTACTTAGTCCAGCCTCTACCTAATGGATGGTAAGGTTCATCAAATATTTGTTACTTAGTCCAACCTCTACCTCATTGATGGTAAGATCCATCAAATATTTGTTACTTAGTCCAGCCTCTACCTCATGGATGGTAATATCCACCAAATATTTGTTACTTAGTCCAGCCTCTACCTAATGGATGGTAAGGTTCATCAAATATTTGTTACTTAGTCCAACCTCTACCTCATTGATGGTAAGATCCATCAAATATTTGTTACTTAGTCCAGCCTCTACCTCATGGATGGTAAGATCCACCAAATATTTGTTACTTAGTCCAGCCTCTACCTAATGGATGGTAAGGTTCATCAAATATTTGTTACTTAGTCCAACCTCTACCTAATGGATGGTAAGGTTCATCAAATATTTGTTACTTAGTCCAGCCTCTACCTAATGGATGGTAAGATCCACCAAATATTTGTCAACATATTCAAACATAGAAGACAATGAACCACTGTAGAACTAAAAGAAAATATTTTGAACTATTCTAGTTTGACTGAACTTCCTTCTGTGAACACTTCTGAGATCAGTGAACATTTCCGGAGGTTATACTGTGATGCTGATGTAGAGGACAACATTCATGATGCAGTTATTCAGGTTTGTATTTTTTCTTCAAGTATGACATCTGTTAATGGTATATATACAGATCTATTTCCTGTTCAGGTATTACAGATGCTGTGTTACATATATATGTTAAAAATATTGGTGGGTTTTTCCGATGTCTTGTTGGTTAATGTCGAATCAGAAAATTGAATTGTAGATAGTTTGATAAAAGCTATAAGCTTTGGGGATGCTGATTTGATTTTAATCGATTCTGTAGGTTGGTGAAAAGTCTTGGCCTGTACACAAGTACATCATCTCCCTGAGGTCAGATTATTTCCGCAACCTGATAGCCTCCAACACCTGTGTGACAGGTGAGAAACCCAGGCTAAAGGTGGACAATGTCAGTGTGGAGATCATGGAGCAGATCATCTCCTTCATTTACACAGACACCTGTGATTATTTACAGGTAAGTTCACCTCTCACACAACCCAGGCTGTTTCTTGTTCCCTGACATTTCATACCTCCTAGTTTTTTTATAGGGGGACGGGACACTACTGTATTTACAGTATCTACTGGCAACCACATCACTAACCCTCTATTCTGCCAATGCAATTACTCCAGATTTTTTTATTTTTAACATAGTTTTGATAAAATGATGTGTTTCCACTAAATGATAAGGTGTGATTAGGGTATTTGAAATGTTCACTTGTGTTTAAAATAGCATGTTGTTTTGACTGTAGCCTGGCCACAAAGTGTTGACCAAACCAACAGCCAAAGACAAGCTTGACCCCAGTAAAGTTGAGCCGGTCAGCCTGATACAGACTAAAGGGATGTCAGCCTTTCAAGTGAACCAGAAGCTGAACAAGGGAGCTAAGAAGAGTGCCCAGAGTGAGAGCAAGGAGGAGCTTCAAGTCTCCAACAATCCTGTCAAGTTGTTGCAAGATGCTGCCAGGAAGTTTGGGGTCAAGGGACTCTCTAAAAGGTACATTGCTGGTCTAGTTTCATACTTTCATTTTAGTGGGTTTTTATATTTAAACTATTTCGTCACGTTTATTTTCAGTTTTTTTTAAAAAACTAAAATAAAATTGTTTCAGTGTCAGTCCAAAGCTTGACTTAGTGAATTGTTTAAAAAACTACTTACAGAATCACAAGTTTAAACTGAATGACGTGTTTACACTTAAATTATTCTATTTGTGCAGGCTGGAGGCAGTCAAGTGTGTCAACAATGTGATAATATCTCAGGGTAAAACCATGGCCAAACCACGAGTCAAGTTTGACAGAAGCAAGCTGTAAGCACATTTATTTGTTAAATTTATGAGCCATTTTTTAAGAATAACTTAAAAAAATATTTAATGTTACATTTTATAATTAATGAAACCAAGACTAGAACAATAATAGCCTTTTTTTCTATTAGTATTAGTCCATGTTATATGTTTAGAATGAATTTTCTAAAAGTTTTTTCAAAGTGTCATTTGTTTTTTGCGGTTACACTACATTCTATAGCAGATTCTAAGTCTCTATGGTGCATACAAATTTTTAAAAGTACTTGCTGTAATATTCATCTGTTACATAATTTAGTTTTTTTCTATGAAAAATAATTAAAAATCAAATTTTTTAAATATGTTTTTCTTTTATGAATGATATATCATTACTTAAAATTAATGTCTTTATTAAAATTAATTTTGTATAGGATTCATTTCTTACCAATTTTTATGAAGTTTTAAAAAAAAACCAAAAATATTATGACTTATAACAATGTTGTGGGTAAACCTGCAAAGAAAAATTGAGGCAAAAAATTTATTCTGACAAGCCATAGAAACAATTCTGGGCCTAAAGAGTAAAAATAATATGCCCCTGGTGTCAATCTATTTGCCTGTGGTTACTCAGTGTAATGAGTTGCTTCCCTTGAGACCTCTTGTGTAGCCAAGTTTGTCCAAGTCCATTGAGTTGTTGATCTGTTACAGGCCAGAGCTGTGTGATGTGAGCATCAACACTGAGGATGGGGAGGAGATAGAGTGCCACAAGTGTGTGCTGGTGGCCAGGCTGGAGTACTTCTACAGCATGCTGTCCACTGGCTGGGTGGAGACCTTCAACACCACCAACCTCACCCTGCCTGTACCTGGACAGGTCCTGGGCATACTGCTTGACTACCTGTACAGTGATGAGGTGCCACAGCTCAGAGGTGGGTGCTGTACAGTACAGCTGGCCATGGTTGTCTGCTGGTGTCTGGGGAGGGGGTCTTTTTTGCATCTGACCATCTTTTTTGGGGCCAGGGGGGGAGTTGTTTTATAACTAACCTGATATTTATTACCCATTGGTCACTGTATAAAGTACATAGATCATAGCTTAGTTCATCTAGCCCAACAATGTAGCCACTACTGCCATTGTCAATGTATAAAGTACATAGATCTTAGCCTCTAAGTTAACCATCCTGCCTCACTACAGACTGCTGTGATGAGGAACTGTTGTGTAGCCTGTTGATTGTGTCAGACCAGCTGTTGGCCAGTAGACTGAAGGAGATGTGTGAAGTTGCTCTAGCCAACACATGTAAGTCATTTCTCTGTTTTGTGCCTACATAAGTTAGTCTATCATCCATAGTAACTTTGTTAAAACTAAATTAGATAATGGAAAGAATCTTGTAGAACTACAGGACTAAATTGTTTTAATACACCTACCACTGACACACAAGGTAGACTACTGAGACAAGTACTTAGATATGGCAGAATACTTTTTATAATTGATCTAATCACTTAAAAACTGCTTGCCCAACATTCCCCATCCAGTGGCATTTAAAAATGTGGGTGAGTTGTTGGAGTTCTCCACCATCTACAACGCTCAACAGCTGAGACTATCCTGTCAACAGTTCATCTCTCTCAACCTGGCAGCCATACTGGAGGGAAGGTAAATTTGACATGTTCAGTTATCTCTCCTTGTACGATCTTCAAGCCATTGTAGTTTCATAATCTTTGGGGCAAATTATTTGTTCAGAGGTGTGCTTGATGTGATTGTACAGGTGTGTATAGTGTTAAACCTGTTTATTTGGTGTTACATGTATTTTATGCTACGCAAGTGTGTTTAAAGTTGATAACTGTTTAATTTTTAAAAAGTGTGTGTTCATATGAAGCTTCAATGCAGGTACCTGGATGTCCTAAGTCAGGAGACCATGGATGACTTGACAGTATACTACAGATCTATTGTAAGCAAACATTGTTTACAACTTTTTTATTCTTGCCCTAGCTTAAATTTTAAAGGCAAAATTGTTTTTTAAAAAGTATATCTATCTTTATTAGAAAAATACAGTGTACTTGATACACAAATCTGCAGCTTCTCCTCCAAAATAAATTACTGCTTTCTGTTATTGTGTTTAGCACAGTTTCATGCCTCTCTTCAATTGGTTCAAATTTTTAAAACTTTGTCCAAACACTTCCACAAGCAAAGATAACTCTTGACTTTGACTGCAGATACCAAACATGGCCTACAGAGTGATGACCCCTGAAGATGATGGGCCTACAAAAACCTACCTGGATGACCTGGTCAAGGAATACGACAGTTTGGATGGGGACATTCTGCAGGTGACCCCACAGGGCTCAGCTAAAAAAAGCAAGCAGGTGAAAAAGCGAGCCAAAGCCAAGAAGATGTTCAGTGAGGATGTGGATAAAATAAACGGCTCGGCCCAGTCTGGAGCCAGTGTAGCCAAGCCTAGCCCTGCTGTGTGTGAGAGGCTGGACAAAGAGGTCCACTCAGTGCTTGAAGATCTGGACAGGCAGGCTAAGGAAGATGACAAGGTAGTACAGGCTGTTTTTACTTGATTTTTCTTTAGACACAGTGGACGTTGAAATCTAATCTCTCTATCTATTTCGACATGATGATGTCTTTTAAACATGGCATCAGTTGATGTCCTCAAAATATACAATCTAATTATATAAGTTCTGGTTACTTTAGACATTTTCCCTTACATTTAGCAAGCAACGCTTTAACTATTTTAACTACAAAAAATTATGTTTTATTATTTTTAGTGCATTAAAGAAATTGTAAAGGTTTTTACACTTGTATTATTATAGAAAGTTTTAAAAATTTAGACCTGAATATTAGTATTTAAGAATAAGTATTTAAGAAACAAAACTCTTTAGTTAACTCTTTAGTTGCCAGTTGTACTCTATGTGTGATAGTGTTTTGTTTTGCTGACAGTGTTTTGTTTTCCTCCCTGTGAAACCAGAAACTGGTGGCTCAAGCAAAAAGTAAAGATAAAATCAAGTGGAGACCAGCTGAGTTAGCTGACATACCTGTTGTTAAACCTACCCAGCCAGAAGACGTCCCTCACTGGCAGCCTAGCTTTAAAACTCTAGTCAAGACACCCCCGAGGTAAGTTGTTTTATAGTATCTGACCTATGTTCTGTCTGTAGTGGTGTAGGTAAAATGTACTCAAGGTTGTCAAAGAAAAAGCCTATAGTGAGAATAACTCAGCCTATTGTGGTTGCAGGCTGGAGAGTGTGTCCCTGGTCCCAGACAGACCTCTCACAAGTCCTGTCATGCCAGCTAGTCCTACCAGCCTGAGGGACATCATGCTACAGGAGTCACAGACAGCTGACAAGTGAGGATTTGTTTGCTATGCTAACTTGTCAAATTGGTGGAAATTTGTTTTGGTTTTGTAACTTGTCTAATTGGTAGAAATTTGTTTGTCTTATAACTTGTCTAATTAGTAGAAATTTGTTTGTCTTGTAACTTGTCTAATTGGTAGAAAAAGGATTTTTTTTGGTAACTTGTCAAACTGCTGTAGAAAGTTTTTGTATTGTAACTTGTCAAACTGGTTGCCAGGAATGTGTTGGTTATAGAGAAGGTAAGTGTACATCAAATTAAAGTTAGATTTTTGAAGAAGGATGATATTACTAGAACTAAAGAAAGTATTTTGTTGACCAGAACAAAATCCAGTTTCTCTAGCCGGGTATCATGGAAAGATGTGAAGAAACAACAAAACAAGAAAAGTAAAGAGTCCCCAACTTCTGAACCAACATCAGCACCCATTGTGTCCCCTAAGGCAGCAGCTACTAATCCATGGTTAGTTTCATCACATTCTAACTCTTGTCTGGCCATTTTGTTTCCATGGTTTGTTGGCCATTTCATGACTTACCTGGCCATGTTGTTGTGTACCTGACATACCTGGCCATGTTGTTGTGTACCTGACTTACCTGGCCATGTTGTTGTGTACCAAATGTTTTTATCATTTCATGACTTACCTGGCCATGTTGTTGTGTACCTGACTTACCTGGCCATGTTGTTGTGTACCTGACTTACCTGGCCATGTTGTTTTGTACCTGACTTACCTGGCCATGTTGTTGTGTACCAAATGTTTTTATCATTTCATGACTTACCTGGCCATGTTGTTGTGTACCTGACTTACCTGGCCATGTTGTTGTGTACCTGGCCATGTTGTTGTGTACCTGGCCATGTTGTGTACCTGACTTACCTGGCCATGTTGTGTACCTGACTTACCTGGCCATGTTGTTGTGTACCAGTTGTTGTCTGTTCCAGGGCTTCCATCAGCAGTGCTTCTCAATCACTGAGGGATGTCATGATCCAAGAAGAGAAGTTTGTGTCCTCTCCTATAGCCATACCCCAGCCTGGTGCCACAAGAAACAAAAGCTCTGCTCCTATAGCCATACCTCAGTCAGAGGCAGGTGTACCACGGACCAGGGCCTCTAACAGCATCAGTGGTGCCAGCAGTCTCGGCTCCTATGGCAAGTCCCCACCTAGTGGATCTGTCAAGTGAGTCCAATCCTTTAAATCACTAATGTCACTTTTCTTTTTTACTGAAATCCTTTTTCAAGGAAAATTGTTATTTTTAGTTGGTAAAGTACCTGCATTATTTATACCTTCTGAGGTATTTATGACCATTGTGAAAAGGGAATTGTTATAAGATTAAATGTGATGTAAGATAAACAAAATTAAAAAATCTCTAAGTATATTTCTTGCAGGTTTTTCTTGTAGTAGATTTTGTATAGTATTTTTGTACAACTGCTAGTAAACTATTTTTATTTCTCTATAGGAGTGTTCAGTCATTTGGTTCAGGGGGAGAGAACCCATGGCAGCATCGCATAGCTTCTAGTCCTCCTTCATTACCTCCCCTGCCTGCCATCAACTTCTCAGCCATACTCAAAGATGAAAAAGAGAAGTCAGAGACCCTTGTGCGCACTCAGAAAAAACCTCTGGCCTTGATCCAGGTATTTGTCTTATTTAGGTGCTAGTTTTGATGTTTACTGTCTGGTAGGTTGTAGCACCCATAATTTTTGGCTTGTATAGCTGACATAACATAACACCTATGACTGCTGACATAGTATCTATGACTGGCTTCTCCTATGACAGCTGACATGACATAGCATCTATGACTGCTGACATGACATAGCACCTTTGACTGCTGACATGGGTGGCTTGTATAGCTGACATGACACAGCACCTATGACTGCTGACATGGGTGGCTTGTATACCTGTCATGTAGTAGAGAGTGTAATGACTTATTTGGCTCTCCCCCAGCTGGAAGAGCAAGCCATGAATGAACTTCTGACCCACTACAAGGCTGACCAGGAGATGGACAGGTACATCACAGTGGAGCGTGTCAGCAAGGCAATAGCAGCACCCTTGTGGAACAGGGACCCCAAGTCACCCGGGTCAGGGGTCTTGTAACTGTAGCTTTGTTAGATCCAGTGACCCCAAGTCACCCTGGTCAGGGGTCTTGTAACTGTAGCCTTGTTAGATCCAGTAACCCGAAGTCACCCGGGTCAGGGGTCTTGTAACTGTAGCCTTGTTAGATTCAGTGACCCCAAGTTAGTAGGGTCAGTAACAGAGGTAAATAGTCCAGCTGATCATGTGATCCCACCCAGTGTTACCACCCACATCCAATGTTTTATTTCACTTGTACAGATATGTCTTCCCAACCAACTTTGCTGATAAACATTCCCATTACATGATCACTTGTCAATAAATTATTGCACCAATAAAACAACTATTTTTTTCTATTAACATACACCAATACTAAGCATTTACCAGTAACAACATGGGCATAAAACACCAAAAGTGTATCTAAATAAACATGTAGCTTTAACTCAAATCATTGAAGTTCTCATGTTGATATTTACCTTGTTATGCCTGTCTCACAGCTATGAAATCCCCCCCCCCCCCTCCTCAATCTTGTATGACATTTGTTAATTATGTGACACTTATTAAATGTATGTGACATTGTTTTTTGAAATGTTTATTCAAATACCTTGTATTTTAATGCATATATTACACCTTATATTAAAATTAATGTTTTTTGACATAAGATTGCTATGTATGGTAAACAACTTATATTAAAATGTATGACACCAGACCACCTAATAACAATGTTACACTGTATAATTTAAATGTATGACATAGTTGACCTGTGTCAGCATGAGTAATGTATAAATAGTTCTTAAAGGATTTTTTTTTTTTCATCTTGTCAGCTCAATATTTGTTATGGTTCAAGCTTGAAATTTCTGTAAAGCCTGAACTTTGTATCAGCCAAATGTTTAAACTTGAGTGGCAAGACTTAACTTACTTCCATCCCCAACCGTTACATTATGCCCTGTGTACCAGTTGTTGTTGAGATCAATTTGTTATTTTACTGTGTTGGCTGTTGAGCTGTGATGGTGTTGACATCATGTTTGACATGCTTACAATTTGGAGCTTGTAAAAAAAAAAATAACCTACTTGAAAATGATATTAGAAAATTTTGTTTTAAAAAGGCGAATATATTTAATCTGAGACTTATTTTCTTTCATGTTGATTGTTTATTTTTAGAATTCAGTCTGCATGATTTTAAAAACTATAAATCAGAGAATTTTATCCTTGACATGTAAAAAAAAATGTTTTTGTTTTGTAATTTCTAATATTACTGTTTTATATAGTGGTTATTTAACAGTATTATATTTAACAAGATTCCATGAGTGCACTATAGTGATGTACCTTAAATTAGATTTGTTTCCCTGGTTTTCTGCTGTGTAAATTAACTAATCAGGAACTGTACCAGTTAGACTAATGTGTAGTATGTTAATACTTGATCTAACAGATGGAACATTTCAGCCATTTGATCTTACTTCTTGTATTATGTGTTACATTAACCAGGGGCCTAGATTCTTGTAATATATGTACAATAGACACTTGGCATTCACTTGTTGTTACCAAATGATGAGAGAATTCTTTTCAAATGTTTTTGGCTTTTAAAAAAAGTTCAATAAAAAAATAAGCTAACTAAATGTGTGCTATCTGGCAACCTGAGCTACAAAAACTTATCTGGTAAACAAATGTGTTGGTTTCTTTGTAGCTCACCAGATGACTTACAAGTCAGGGACTTCTTTTATTTTTAGACAGGCCTGTAGGGACTGCACAATCAAGACAAGACTCACAAGACACAGCAAACACAAACCAATAGAATTCTAAGTGTGTGAGATTAGTATGTAATGATCTAACAATTCCAGCAAGGTTCAGATCTAAACAAGTAGAGCAAAAATACAAATAATTCAAATATTTCTAGTGCTAGTTGATGAAAACAGCTGCTTATTACATCCAATTTCTGACTGGCATAGTTGGACAAATGATTTGATCAAGTGTTCATTAAAAAAACACTTCTAACAAACAGGAACATGGTGCACTTAAAAAACATTTACTAATACATACTGAAGCAATTTTAAAATCTTGGATTGTACATAGTGATGGTACATTCAAAACACTTATGCATACTAAAGCTACATTCAAAATAATCATTTTTACCCAAACAAATAGTAATTGAGCAAGATTTTTTTAAAATTTGGCCTATAATGTTTAAATATCTAATGTATTAATAAAATAGACTTAGAATAGTTCCACATCATTTTAAACCTAAATCTGAGGGTAAAGAACAACAAGAGAAGTAAAAACCTATAGTGCCACTAAATGTGAGTGATCACTGTCAGCAAGACAAGGCTCAACATGTGAACTTACACTGTGAGATGACCAAAACAATACTTACACAGCCAACTTCATGGCACAAACTAAAGGCAAATACAAACCACATAACTGTTGTATTATTATATTTTAAGGCCTGAGAGATAACACCAAACAACCCTTTTCCTGGTGATCTTTACAATTTTATCAATATCACAGATACAGCAGCAAGACAGCTACACTGCAAAAAAACAACGCATTTATAGTTTCAAATCTACTGCACTCAACATGTTCCAGCACATGCCAGTGAGGCTGATGTGGCCAGGACCAAAAGCTTCCGGCCAGCCAAGTCAAATCTTACAAAGCTTAACAAGCAGTGCTGAAAGCTAATACAAAAACTGTGCTGATCCTAGTTCGCAGAATTAGATATATATATTAATGATAAAATACACAAACGCATCTACAAAAAATGTTCATTATTTGCGTACGAGCAGCATCCGCTGGGCACAAGTCTTGCCTACATACGTGGCGTACTCCTTCACTTCATCCTCGTCAGAGCCTCGTGACTTCTTGGACTTGTAAAATGAGTATGGCAGCATGGTTCCTTTATGTAAGACCAAAACCTGGTCCACATCAATGTCTTTATTTTTGTCCTCTGTCAGACCAAATAAGAGCTCAGTTCAAACATTTCTTGCTTTACACTCAACTAGCTTTTATAATGTGACTACACCTACTGCTCAAAAGTTAAACAGCCTAACATTGTTTTAAAATCAACTCATTCAACTCATATATTGTTTTTTTTTTTTTTAAAGTTAACAACATTTTACAATTAATAATGTAAGGCAACTATTTAAAATCATATCAGGGTTTTAAAAGAAACCACTTTATAGGCCACTCGCCTTCACACTGAATCTTAGTCTGAATGTTTACATTATACTAAAGATGTTGAATTGGGGATAACTTATTAACAGTTTCATCTTCTTGCTGTTAGTAGATAAGTATCAACTATATCTTTGTTATGGTATCAAAAAATCTTATTTTAACCAGAGAATAAGAAGGGAATTAAGAACTGCAATTGGAATATGTCAACAGACGAACAAGATGAATATGGTACATGCAGTAACTGATTAAATTGGTTGGACTAAGATCAGCTCGTTAACTCTCATTAGATTATTAGTCCTTTTAATTGGTTTCTGGTGGCATCACCTCAGTACAATGGTTATAAAGAATCTTGAGTGAACAGCCATGCAAGTAGAGAGAAACTTCACCTACACAACAGACTGGCCACCTCATATTACAACACATGGGTGTTTGATCAGCCTGCTACAGCAGCTTTTAGCCTCTACGTCTACAGGGGGAACCACCCTTTGGAGGGCCAGAAACTGATCCAGGGGGGTGGTACAGGTCTCTAGTGATTTAGATGAGGGGGAGCTTGAATGGTACAGGTCTCTAGTGATTTAGATGAGGGGGAGCTTGAATGGTACAGGTCTCTAGTGATTTAGATGAGGGGGAGCTTGAATGGTACAGGTCTCTAGTGATTTAGATGAGGGGGAGTTTGAATGGTACAGGTCTCTAGTGATTTAGATGAGGGGGAGCTTGAATGGTACAGGTCTCTAGTCATTTAGATGAGGGGGAGCTTGAATGGTACAGGTCTCTAGTGATTTAGATGAGGGGGAGCTTGAATGGTACAGGTCTCTAGTCATTTAGATGAGGGGGAGGAAGAGTGACTGAGGTGAAAGATGGAGGTGCTAGAGGAAACTGGGGGCCACATGAACACTGGACACAAAGAGAAGGTACCATCAATCTCACTTCATTCTAATTTCATCTGGAGCTTTGCAGTCACAGTGGTAACAGTCAGCCACAGTGACTAAGATGAGTCACCATGACCAACAGTCATCTTCACCACAGTGTCATCATGACTTAAATCATCTTGACCATAGACAGTCCCCACGCCTAGAGTCACCGCTACAGCTACAGCCCCTAAGAAAGAGATTGGCTTACCAAGACCTTCCTCTGACAACCTGGAATATTTGCTGGCATCAAGTTTGGGTCGACATGTTTCTATTGGCACCCACTGGTAAGTCTCTGGACAGGCCAGGTAGGAGGGAACAAACTGACCCTTGTAGCGCATCTTGGGACAGGAGTGGATGTAGAAGCCCATGTAGTAGTACTTCAAGTTGGGGGCATAGTGGTTCAAGCTTCTCACCAACGCCAGCTCTCTGAGGGCAGTCCAGAGAAAAAAATGACAACCATGATTTTATTTTGTGGAATTCTTTAAGTTGTGGTTCTTGCTTCTGCCTCTCTGACTGCAGTCAAGAGAAAATCTAATACCACATTTTGAAAAGGTGTTTACTAAAGGTCAACTGTAAGGTTTCTCTCACCTTAAGACCAAGTTTTAATTAGTGAGGTTCTTAACTGTTGGCTTTTTATCTCACCTTAACTTAAGACCAAGTATTTAATTAGTGGGGTTCTTAACTGTTTGATTTTTATCTCACCTTAAGACCAAGTATTAAATTAGTGGGGTTCTTAACTGTTTGATTTTTATCTCACCTTAAGACCAAGTATTAAATTAGTGGGGTTCTTAACTGTTTGATTTTTATCTCACCTTAAGACCAAGTATTTAATTCGTGGGTTTCTTAACTGTTTGCTTTTTATCTCACCTTAAAGCAGAGTAGACGCCCAGGCCAAGAAAACTATAGTCAGGGTCGTAGTACAGGTAGACGGAGGAGACGCAGGCGGGGAGGATGTCGATGACACCAACAGCTATCAGCTTGCCGTCCAGCAGGTAGTGCTGGTGGAAGGAGCCATAGCCCTCGGGTGGCCCTGTGGGCTCGTGTTTCTCCTGCAACAGAGGGCTGAGATATGCTGACCACATCAAAACATACAGAAGACTATCTAGCTTTTTTTAAAAAATAACTTGAACAAATACTTAACAATATGAATGATGTAGTTTTTATAACAAGCAACCAATACTGCAAATACACAAGCAAGCCTCAAAAGCTGAAAGCCAAACAAACTGAAACCAACAGAAACCAAAACAGAAAGCCAACCAAACAAACTGCACCACATAAGCTACAGTCAACTGGCATTAGCTGAAGATCCAGACAGGCAAGAAACAAAAAAACACCTCTAAAGGAGAGTCCGCTAGAAAATTTTTGAAACCTTTCTTTTCACAGTCTTCAGGAGGGTCTTTGTGTATTAGCATCTGGTATTTTTTGTAGAGATAGTAGGAGTCTTGGAAAGTCAGGCGAAATCTGGGAGACTCGGGTGCACAGAGCACAATCTAGAGAGAGAAAAGGTGGCTAGTTTAGGTATACTAGGCCAAACTTGGTCATTAGAGTTTAGCTCAAGGCTTTACTAGGCCAAACTTGGTCATTAGAGTTTAGCTCTAGGTTTTATTAGGCCAAACTTCAGTCATGAAATCACTTTTCCATCTGTAAACTTTCCAAGATGTCTGAATGTGTGGGTGGGTGTGTTTGTGTGGGGGAAAAATTAACTTTTTATCAACACATATAAAGCCTCTATTGCTTCCATAATCCTAAATGAATTGAAAGATTTCTCCCCAAAACTATAAATATGTCTTCCAAGTCTCAAACATAAACAAACTGAAACCTTTCATTTCCACTGGTCTCCACAGAGCTTTGTGTTGGTCTGGTTGAGACTTGGTGTAAGACAGACAGGGTCAAATAGACATGGTCAAACAGATGGGGTTCTCGAGTGATATCAGGATTTGGCAAAACAACTAAGTAAATTGATAAATTTTTATCAAACACTGGGATCGTTATTACGGTATGGCAGGCCGACATTGTTGTGGTATTAAATGGTTAAATATGGGAGATGGAGGTATAAGATGGGAAGAGTATTTTATAGGTTCACTGTACGTAAGTATATGACAACCTAGATAGGTTCACTGTATAGAAGCTTATGACAACCTAGATAGGTTCACTGTATAGAAGCTTATGACAACCTAGACAGGTTCACTGTATGAAAGTCTATGACAACCTAGACAGGTTCACTGTATGAAAGCCCACTACATCTAAGAGAGGCTTGCTTGTGTATCTGCTATGTGTCAGGGTTTACCAGGAGGGGGGAGTCACAGAGGAAGCGCTGGTACTGGCCCATGTTGGGCTTGCTGGGCGGGTCCTTGTGTATGCTGGTCTGGTACCTGTGGTACACACTGTGGCTCTGTTGGAGGCTGCTCTCAAACCTGGCACTGGCCGGCCACGACCTGACAGTACGCAGCTGAAGGTCAAGGTTACATGTGGCTGGTCAAAATCTCTTTAGTTTTGGCTTGGTTTAACAATGTTTTTTCCAATACATTTTTAGTTCATTTTAGTGTTATTCAATTTGATTATTTTATTTATCACTAAATTAAAATTAAAGAATCTACAAACATCTGATTAGCTAAATTTTGTAATAATAAAACTAATTTCATTTCTAGAAAGATCTAATGAATTGACCTCATTCACTATGATCAGCTTGTCAGTTCTATATCAGTTGTAAAAACCAAACTACAACATAAGCTGTATGATATGTGTCAGTTCTATGTCAGCTTTCAAAACTAAGCTACATCACATGCTATATGTTCTAAGTGTCAGTTCTAAGTCAGCACCAAAAGTGCCAGCAGACGCCAGCAGTTTTCTCACCTCCAGTTTATGAGCAGGGTGCTCCACCTTGTCTGGCTCACTGAGCAACTCTTCCAGGCTCTTTTCCTGGCGATGTTTCTTCTGGAAGAGAGAAGCGCTTATTTCATCAGTCTAATACATTCAGTTATTTAAGATACAAATTTGATCACTGAATTTACTTAAGTTTTAGATGCTTAAGGCCTATAGCCTAATTAGTATACTAAAAAAATGCTTTTTGAAGAGCCAATGACACATTGCAAGAATTTTTAACATTGTATTTGAGTTTCTGAAATGGTGGAGGGAAGAGTTGAAACTACCAGTTTAAAAGTGGTAGATTGATTATACCAGCTATGCATGTGGGGTCATGGCAAAGACAGTGGGCTTAGGAGTATGTAAGGTTGCTTTATTTTTAGAACCACAACATTGCATTCAATTTTTCTTCAATTTTTAAAAAAATGTTTAATGGAAAATTTGAATGTCATAAAAGTCAACATTGTTGACTTTTAATAAATATCCTTAATGAGCTAACAGAAATTTATTGAGCCCATTTCAAGGTGTACAAGAAGGATAAACAATCATAGTAAAACAAGGAAGTTTTAACAAACTGCATTAACAATGCCAGATGTTTACAGTTTTAAACAGTTTTTGACAGAAGTTATAAAACTTTACTCGTACCCCCTCATTCTTGACATCCTCATCTTTCTGTCTATCCTTGTGAGATCTCTTCTCCGCCCTGATATCTTTAGCTTTCCTACACCTTGGTTTGTTGGGGTCTGGCCCAGTCCCTGGCAGGTCAAATAGAGTTAGCTTCTAGTTTGTCTACACAATTATATGTACAGTGTGGGAAAACTACACAGACTGTGATATTTGATAGCTTCTTAGATTGTAGATAACAGGTAATATAACTACATACTCTATGAGGATGACCAGAGGAAAAAAAATCACTACACACCTGGTCTAGGAATGTGTTTCTCCGTAGATGTACAGCTGCGAATACTTTTGCTACTATAAGATGAAACTTTAGAGTGTGCTGATGATGAACCTTCCACTGTATCTGAGGCCACGGATGTGTTGCTTTTGCTTGTGTCTGCTGCCTCGCCCTACACATCAACACATGAGGAAAACAGTCAGTGATGGAATACACTTGTTCTGTATAGGTGCACACATACACATCAACACATGAGGAAAACAGTCAGTGATGGAATACACTTGTTCTGTATAGGTGCACACATACACATCAACACATGAGGAAAACAGTCAGTGATGGAATACACTTGTTCTGTATAGGTGCACACATACACATCAACACATGAGGAAAACAGTCAGTGATGGAATACACTTGTTCTGTATAGGTAGGCCTACATACATACACATCAACACACGAGGAAAACATGTACACACATACACATTAACATATAAGGAAAACAGAGTCAGCAATACACTTAGTGATGGAATCCACTTGTTCTGCATTAGTACACAACACACTTTTTTTTTTAAAATCACATTACATGTTGAGGATCCTTCTAATAAAATGGATAATTGCCAGTTTTTCTAACTGAAGTAATTGAATAAAACATTTTTAAAAATTGCTTTTTCTTAACTATGTGGTTCATGTTTAAATTGATGATGTAAAAATCAGTAAAGAATGTTTTTTTTTAAATAAAATTTTTTTAGCAGATTCTTAATGATAAAAAAAATACAACTAAACATTAATAGTAACAAATAAAGAATATGTGATTTTTAAAAAGTACCATTTTTGTGAAGTTGTTTGGCATGACCATCTCACTGGGTTTGGCCTTCTCTGCTAGTGAGACCTCCACCCCCTTGTGGCCACCCTGCTCGTCCCCACTCCCATCTTCCTGTTTCCTCCCTGTGACATCATGAGCACCTTTGACCCCTGTGATGAGATACCTGTTGACCCGTTTAATCAGCTTTTTGTGTGACTTGTTTAACTTGAAGTTCAGGGCGTCACACCGGATCGTGTACTGGGGGCAGCAAGTGACGTTCATGGTGGGCTTGTAACAGTATTTGCCACTCCTGAATTGGTTCACAAAAACAATCAATTATTTCTTGACTTTAATACACCTAAAAAATGCAGAGTATATTAGCAGAATATATGATTCCACGGGCCTCCCCCACCCCACTCCCTTTACTTACATGCTTTAACAGGTTAAACTTTTTAAATGGCATTTGAAATTAAAACATTTTTTACGTAGTTTACCTTAATACGCCTACTTTAATACCATCATAACTGCCTAAGCTTTGAGCCAACCTTTGATTAGAATGTAAGACCTCTGAGTACTAGAAATATTTTACTTACCTTCTCCACCCCCTGTCAATCAGATCCTGGTAATCTTGAACTGTCATCTGATGGGCCCACATCCCTGGAAAAACAGACAGCAAAAATAGATTCTTAAATAAATTAATGTTTAACAATACTGGAGATTGGAATATCTTTTTTAAATAGGCTATTTGAGTTTATATGTTTCTGTTATTAGTAGGCCTACTTCAATAGAATCACTTCTACACTAAACCCCATTCAGAATTGATAAACCATAAACATTTGAGCAAAAATGAATAACACATATTTGCAACAGGCCTATTAAAAGTATTATTGAACCCTGAGCTATCAAATGCCTAACTAATGTGAAAATTGCCTTAAACTTTTAACTAGATTCTAGATATCTATATTGTTACATGTGATGTAAAGAAGGCCTACTAGATCTAGTAGTACTAGAATCTAGATCTATAGATTTGGTTTAGTCAGTGTAAAGTGTGAGAGTGTGGATGAGACATGTCTAGTAGTAGATCTAGTACTGTGAGTACTGTCTAGAGTGGACTGTAGTCTAGTGAGATTAAGGCTTAAGGTAAATGTAAACTAGAACTCAGTAGTCAGCAGTAGAATCTAGATTTAGCCCTAGATTTAGAGTTCTGGATCTATACCTAGATCTAGCACTAGCAATGTTATCGTTTTTTACTAGTTTTGAGTCGGGTGAACACACCAGGATCTGACGCCGACGACGGTGACTCAGAGTGGAGTTTGTTAACTTGTTATAAATTACAAAATTTTCCATTGAAAAACAGAAACATTCATAAATAAAGTAAAACAGTAACCATGGGAATAGTTTGTATCTTGTGAGCCACAGTAGCCACATCTATAACGTTCATGTTCAGAAAAGTATTCAGCTATCGTTGGTTCTTCATCCAGAGACATAGCGACCAAAGTATGCGTTTGCTTACTTTTCCTGAAAATAGCAACAGAGGAAGTTTCTCATTAAAATTTGTAATTCCCGAAAAATTAAAATTATAATTTATAAATAACAAAACAATATCAACAATTATATCTAGATCTAGATTAATCTATATCTAGATGTAGTATAAATCTAGATCTAGATTTTATCTTTTTGAGGCCAAACTTTTAAAAAAGACCTTACTGTGATAAATATTATTATTATATAGGTATTAGGGGCCTAGGCCTAATAATTTTTTTTTTTTATAAAAGTGGTAACGCTTTATAAAACAGAGAGTAGGCCTACAATATGTAGATCTAGATCTTCTAGAATGTAGATTATAATTTGGTGTAGCCTCGTATTTAGGCGTATAGATCTATGTATAATTTAAAAAATAATTATAATTATTAATTAATTAAGCAAAATAAAGTGTAGATTAGTTTAAAGAAGTTAGAAGTAAGCCTACAATATATATATATATATATATATATATATATATATATATATATATATATATATATATATATATATATATATATATATATATATATATATATATATATATAATAGATGTTTTTGTTTTTTTTAAAGTACGAAATATTGTTGACTTAGGGGTCGTCCATAATTTTGTGACGGTGTGCAGTAGCGTAGCGAGGGGGGGGGGGGGGGGGCGGGGGGGGGGGGACATATGTCCCCGGGCGCCGAGCTTAGGGGGCGCCAAAATGGGTTGGAAAAATAAATTGAAAGGATGAGGGGGGTGCAAATTAAAATCTCGAGGGGGGGGGTGGTGCAAATCGAAAGTTTGAGGGGGGTGCAAATCGAAATCTCGAGGGGGGTGCAAATCGAAAAGTTTGTCCCCTTGGCGCCGGGAAGGGTCGCTACGCCTCTGACGGTGTGTGCGTTATATCGCGTTTTAGAACACTTTTAAAATAGGAATTGATTAAAATACTCTTCAGCAGAGGCATAGCGACCTTTCCCGGCGCCCGGGGACAAACTTTTCGATTTGCACCCCCCTCAACCTTTCAATTTATTTTTCCAACCCATTTTGGCGCCCCCTAAGGTCGGCGCCCGGGGACATATGTCCCCCCCCCCCTCGCTACGCTACTGCTCTTCAGACAAGATTTTGGAAAAATATTGATGTTTTAAGAACTGCAATTTTGAGGGGGGTGGGGGGTTCAGGTTTGTAGACTAAGGTGTGACGTCATTTTAGGAGGGGGGGGGGTCTGGCTTTTTGTGACGATGTGTGACGGAGGGGGGGGGGGGGGGTAAAAAATAGTCCCAAAAAGCGTTACGTCATTTATGGATTACCCCTAATAGGTTGACATGACAATACAAATAGCCTACATCTCGAATCGTAAAGGCAATGTTATTAGCCTAGGATATAACATTGAACTATACCACCAATCTATGACGGAGTCATCCATAAATGACGTAACAGTGTTACACCCCCCCCCCTTCCCCATACTCATACGTCATCACAAAAGCCAGACCTACAGTTTCCAACCTTTAAGGTTACTCACACATCGTCACCATATTCCGACACCTTCCCTCCTGTCGTTAATGGAACAAAATGACAGACCACCATGTCCCTTTGCGAATAGCCGGCTTTGTCCCCAAAACATTTAAGAAAATAAATTTGAAAAAAATGCAGACATCCTAAATTTTACTAATTTTTAGCGCAATTTCCATTATGGAGAATTGCGGTTATATTAACCCGTCATTTCTGGATGTATGAATGGATGTGTGTCCGCAGCTTTAAGTCGTATCTCCTCCTCAACGAAGCAATATCGAGGACTAGTTCCAAAAGCAATTATGTTAAGCAAGTTACGAGGATGAACATAGGCCATAAAAATTCCGGGTTTCTTTCATGGATTTCCCGGAAAAGCCAAAAAACCTAGAAAAATTGCAGTTTTTTTCCCCATTTCTCGGCAACCAGACCACTTAGCGACTTGAAACATGTACCAATCGATTTCTGCCATAATTTAGAACAATATTGCCGAAGAAAGTTTTCAAAAATATCCTTTCGTTCGGTCACTAAATTTTTTTGAATTAATTAAAATTTGGACCGAATTAGTAGGCATTTTTATCCAACCACACCACACGCGTCATCACGTTCAATAGCTGCGCCATCACGTTCAATGGCTGCGCAATGGTTTTTAGTCATGTAACTCTATTGTAAATAAAACATGTATTTTAACCAATGGTTTTACTAACCCAGCTCTTGATTTACGCTACGACAGAGCTATTTTTAGATAACATAAGGAAATTGCGCTAAAATTGTCACTAGACTTTTTAATTATCTTGTTTTAACTAATCCTTTGCTTATTTGCAATTTTTATTATAGAATTGAGACATTTTTTAGTACATTGCTCTGTTATTTATATTTCTTAATTATGGCTGTAGCCTAACTAGCCATTTGTTGTATAGATTGGTGCATCTTGAGGGTTAGATACAGATAAAACAGTTGTGTCGTGATACGCCTAACTCAACAAAACCGAAAGACCAAAGAGGCGAAAAGTGTAACTCTGGTCTTGTCAATACTAGAACTGCTTGCGATTATTTCCCTTGAGACACATAAAACTTGAAACAACTGCAAGAGATAAGACACACTAGGAGTTATTTTAGCAGTAATTAATTAAGTTCAAACCGATAATTTGTGGAGTAGGAAGGTGGGGGGGGGGGGGGGCGGTAAAAAAAACAATCCGTCTCCGCATGTAACTTTGAATCTCAATGAAGAAAGCGAAGGGGGTGGAGGGGGGGGGGGGGGGGGGTGAGGAGCTGGCATCAATGAAGACAAGCTATCGATTGGTCGGACAAAAATAGCCTCACGAGGACATTCTCCAATAATCAGACAGCGCGTGCAGGCCGGTCAGCTGACGTCACTTGCTGTTAGCGGTGACATTCATTCAGGGGCGGAGACGTTTGTTCACTTGTGGAACTCGTGTCGGAGCACTCACGTCATATATTTGGGTCACGTCTGCCGTGACTTTCTCTAAACTGGTGGGTGGACGGTTTTATGAGACAATCTTTTGTTCACTGCACTCTCTAGATCGCGTGGTATGTATCTGTATGTATGTATGTGTATGTATGCGTCTGTATATGTCTGTGGTCGTTTGTGTGTGTGTCTCGTATTAAATAGCACCGTGTAAGTCGTGGACTAATACTAAGACCAGATAGTTGAGATAGGCCTACACGGTTTATCGTCAAGAAGGTGGTAAGGCAGATTTTTCTGGAGCAATATGGATGTAAATGGTCAAATCTCACTCAACACCGCCGGTCAAATCTCACTCAACACCGCCGGTCAAATCTCACTCAACACCGCCGGTCAAATCTCACTCAACACCGCCGGTCAAATCTCACTCAACACCGCCGGTCAAATCTCACTCAACACCGCCTGTCCTGACATGACCCAGTTTTTTTTTCTGTGATAATCCTCAGCTGATGGTCGTGTAGGACTTTTTGTTTGATAGCCTATAGAGTCCTTTCATATGACGTCACGTCCGTTCGTGATACCTACGCCCGCCGCCACAGTGGTGTACACAAGACGTAAACACAATCAGCTGTTCGCCAGCGCTGGACGTGTTCACCAGCGCTGCACGCGTTCACTGTATGTAAAGAACCGCACCCGCGGAAAAGGAAAAATACGTTAAAAAACTTGAACTCTTAGGAATTGAAGATCCTTATACTGTTATTGACAGTTTCGTATAAATAAATATGTGGACAAAATTTCTAAATAAAAATACTGTTAGTAATACTGTTTGCGTTTAGAGTTAAAGTAGCCAATCTGATCAAATGCAGTTCTCGATACTTTGTTTCATGTAAGGACAGTAAAATAATAAACTTCATTTTAATTATAAAAGATAACTATTAATAAAACAAATATGCTCGACCTTCACAAATACTAATAGTAAAAGACAAAGTCAAAAGTAATATTATAGGCTAATAAGAATAACAAGATCTAATAGTAGGCTTATACCTGGCTCCGCTGGGTAGACATAGAATCTAGAATCTACTTCTTTACTTAAATTTAATTACTTTAGATCTACATTCGATTCAAAATACACCCATAATAAATCAAAAGTAGTCATAATAGGCCTAATAAAGCATTTAATTGTCTCTAAGATCTAAAATCTCGCTCTATTATCTAATCATTTTTTTAGCAAACGAAATTTTCTGAAATTGAAATAGATTATATGACTAGACTTAGATCTAGAGTCTGCTACTTAAATTAAATTGTAAAAACTTTATACAAGCATGTAGTTGATATTATTGTAGTAGAAGGCTTTAATAAATTACTAAGGCCTACCTACTTTGTTGTCTTTTTACAGTAATATGTATCTGATACTGGACTGAGTTTAATTAAATTCAAATTCATATCTAGTAATTGGTCTACTAAGTTTTTGTAGCCTAGTAGTACAATCTAGATCATACCAGCCAACAACAAATAACCACATTATTATTATTAGGTTAATGATTAGGCTAATTTTTTTTTTTAAATCCACTGTTTATAAAAGAAACAAATCAAGCTAGAAACATTATAAGTGAGATGGTTTAGAATACTAAAAATGGACCCAGTCTACAATTGATACAATTGCAGGTCTACATAGGGCCTACAGTCTAGTAGTTTACAGTAGGCACCTAGTGTGTAGCTAGTATACTAGTGTGTAGCTGTCCAGAGTTAAGATTCTTAATGCCTTAATGCTTTCCCCTGATAAGCCGTGTGTTCTATAAATGACATAACATGACACCGAGGTGAGAAGTGTTGAGGGGAGAGCAGTGGGACTTTCCCCTTTGTTCTCCCTGCTGGGCCCTGAGGGTCAAAATTATATAAGAAATACTATCTCTGTGGGGCTGGGTATCACGGAGGTGAGACATTTTCAGGGGAGGGCAGGGCAGACTCCTCTTTGGTTTTATTGTGGGCTAGATACAGGTGGGGGCAGCCATCATGACGGTTGAACGTCAGTATTAATGTGTCTGATTACTTCCCTGCTGGATTATAAGGGTCTTAAATTGTATAACATGCTACCCAGATTGGCAGTGTGGGTTTTGTAGGAGTTAAGTGGTCTCACGTTTGCTACAGTAGATAACCTATAATATATTACTGCATTTGATCAGCTTCGTCTACTTAAACTCTAAACGCAAACGGTATTACTAACAGTATTTTTATTTAGAAATTTCGGCCACATATTTATATTATCCACGAAACTGTCAATAACTGTATAAGGATCTTCAATTCCTAAGAGTTCAAGTTTTTTAACATATTTTTCCTTTTCCGCGGGCGCGATTCTTTACATACGGTGAACACGTCCAGCGCTGGTGAACACGTCCAGCGCTGGCGAACAGCTGATTGTGTTTACGTCTGATGTACACCACTGTGGCGGCGGGCGTAGGTATCACGTGATTTAGGTCACGTGTTTGCAAGGACTCTATAGGCCTAGTTGAGTTGGTGTGACCCAGAGAGCTCGCGCTAATTGTGACGTCATCTGGGAGTTATTTAATGGTCAAGATTTCCTGTGTGAGATCAGCTGGATGTACAACTTCGTGTCTTCGTGTGTATATCGAAGTTTGTTGAATTACAAATTGTACAACTATGTGTTTATATCGAAGTTTGTTGAATTACGGCTACTGAGGAGTTTTTGGGAGGGAGGGGAGGGGAGGGTGAAACTATTCAGGGCATCGCATTTCATTAATGCTGAGCAGCGTTTCTTCCACCAGGCATCTCTTCGAAATGGAGTTTATATAGAAAACATACTTTTACCAGTGTGTGCCCCCCCCCCCGGAAGATGCTGTCCGCCCCCCACACCCCCCCCCCCCCCCCCCCCCCACGAAAATATCAAGATTCCCCCCCCTCCCCCGGCCAGGAGAAAAAATTCTGGAAGAAACAATGATGTTGAGTAGAGGTGTCGTAATCTTAATCACTAGCAGTCGACGATAGACGCTCACACACACACACACACACACACACACACACATACACACACACTATCTAGACACTAGATGGCTTATTTATTGAAGTTTAATTAGTTTACTTTAATAAACATGAAGTAAAAAAATGTTGACTTTGAATGTCAGAATGTTAACAAAACAATTAACAGCCAATCAATTATTTTGAATTGTCGAAGATTAGTACCAGTAATTATAATTACTAAAAGTCGTTTTGTTTCAACTGTAGGCCTATGCCTACTCATCAAATTGGTGCCTTTGGCGGGGGGGGGGGGATATGTGTAGGGAGAGGGGATTGGGTGGTGGGGATCTATGCTACTCGTTCAATATGTCAAGTGAGCACAAGAAAAACACGATGACGTAATATGTCCGGGTCACATACATGTCACCTCATACATTGAGACAGTTCAATATGGAGGGTCTGGGGGTTAGGGGTCATGGGTAATCTTCTCGGGTAGAAGGATTCGGACTTTGGGGAGGAGGGAAGGGGGTTTAGAAAGTATAACTCTGTTGTGGTATTGGGGGGGGGGGGGTTAGAACTCTGTGACGTTATTTTTGTTTTTGTAACGCCGTATGCAGATAGGAGAGCAGAGATTTTTAAAAATAGGTTTTAAAGCGTGACGTCATTATGGACGCTCCCCTTATTCGATTCCTTTAAAAATAAAACTCCCGACAGCTAAAGACTAAGAATAGATCACTGTCGTGTGAGCAACTAGCCGTATAACTGATGTAAATCTCGATCTATATGGATGTTTTCTATTTAGACCTTCGCCGGCTATCGATATTATGCTTCAAGGAAGTAAAGCTGATAAAATTCATATAAAAAATTAAATTGAGGAAACGTTAAAGGGAAATACAAGCCGGCTATAACACGTGGTACTAGAGTACTAACATTAGCGGGCTACACAGCTTGATTGGACGTGCTGCTATCGCGCGCAACGCCACAGCCAATCGAAACGCCGTGTCCCCTGATTTCATCATCATGTGTACGTTTGTTGTCTATCAGGAAACCACGTGCTTCCGGCGTCTGTGTACCCTAGTGAATACGAACTCTCAGACCGCGAGTCGGTTGTAATACAATCTAACAAAGGCAATGAGTGTATCTAAAAATAAACACTACTTTTTTATACACTGTACTGACCCAGTTAAGAAAGTAGATAAAAACCTGTTTTAGATAGCAGGCTTAGAGGAAAATAAAACTGAATATTGACTTCATCAAATCATCCTAAAATAATAATTCGGTGAGTAGATGATACATCTCGTTATCATGTTGTGCATTGTTTATTTTTAGCTCGCCTATAAATGGTTACTTTATCCGCCCACCTCCTGCCGCTTGCCATGTAGAATATGTTTAGGTCTAGATCTTAGAGAAATCGTATCACTGATTAAAGGTGCCTGTGGTCAGGGGCGTCACACGGCGGGGGGGGGGGGGTTGTTTCGGCCGCACAGGGTGTCACCAAAATAAAAATAAAATGCAAAATGTTATATTGTTTTAGTATAATATATATCGTCGTTGGGGGGGGGGGGGGCAGAGTTTCTTCCAGGCATCTCTTCGGGGGTGCGAAGCCCCCCCCCCCCGAAAATTTTTTTACCGCCCCCCCCCCCCCCCCCCCCCCCGAACGAAATTAAATTTATATAATTTATATAGAAAGTATATACTTTTAACAGTGTCCGCCCCCCCCCCGAAGAAAGTTTACCGCCCCCCGAAGATTTCAAGTGCCCCCTCGGAGAAAAAAGTCTGGAAGAAACACTGGGGGGGGGGGGGGGGCACACACCCTAGACTACCGTGCCGGGTGTCACTAGACCTTGCTATGCCTGTGATAAAAGAGCGCCGTCACATCGACCATGTTAAAAAGGGCAGCGACAAATGGACCCTGTCATATAGGCTCCCGACGAAAGGACTCCCTTCAATAAGGCTCCAGACAAAACGCTCCCGTCATTAGGACTCATTACGATATAATGATATGTTGACTGATGTACCAACCTGTGCTCACTGTTTAGCCAACAGAGTGTAAACAGACGGCTCACGTTGCAACATGTTTTAAACAATTAGTGGAGTGATCGTTCACCTGTCATGTCATTACAACAACAACCTCTCTATAGACTGTGTGCAGTGGACTGTACCCACCTGCAGCACAGGTGTGGGGCTGTTGTCTGGCTGGGGTCCCCTATGTTAGGAGATACACTCCGGTGTTAAATACGTTTGGTGGTGTGTTCATCAAATCATCACACCCGGACAAGATACACTGTACACCATTTCTAGATTTAATATTTGTTATGTTCATCATCATCATCCATTCGTGCACAAGACACATGGGGCAGATGAAGTAGCGTACAACTATTTTGAATACCTCGGCATACAAGGTCAGGACTATGCCCAGCCGCCTTTGTCTCCCATCAGAGCTGGGTGGACTCAGTAAGTCAGGTACCCATCAGAGCTGAGTGGACTCAGGATGTCCTGGAGACTCGAACCCGGGATCCGAACCCGAGACTACCGTGTTGACAGTCTAGCGCTCTACTGGTAGGCCACGGCGTCCCCCTTTTGTTATGTTACGTTTTAAATTGAATTTTCCTCCAGCGAACAGAGGGGCCACTTTATCATTCTAAAGTTAGACATTGATCACATGACATGAAACATGACTCTCTCAATTTTAAAGTTAGACATAGATCTATGACATGACAAATGACCCGTCTATCTGAGACTAGACCAGTTTTCTTAAAACCGATCTAGAAAACCGGCAGCCGGCCAGGAAAGCCGGATTAACTGACACTGGCTTTAGCCGACACTGTAAAATTCAATCATTTTTGTTACCAAAAGAAAAAAATCTTTCTAATAATTCTTAGATACATTTAATGATAAGAAAACATTCTAGAATAATTCGCAGCAGTGATTTTAAAATAAAATGTGTGGACGTTTGTGATAATCGTCAATATACCTTCCAGTGTAGAAGACCATATCTAAAGTATTTAATCTTTTTGTTATTATTACATTTCAGAACAAATTGCCAAACCTCTGGTGGAAAGATGGACGCCACTCTATGTAAGATTGTTGTTGTTTTTTTTGTCCAAATTAGTTCTTTTATTTTTTTATCCGTCATGTTTTTTTGTTCTGATAGAGAAAGAAAAAAAAAACAATTCGGTCAAGGTTGACTAGAGAAAGCGGGACTGATCACCTTCCTATCAGTGAGTGTTTTTTCCCCTCGCCATTTAAAACTACAACCGAGATAGTAAGAGCTAGCAACAGTTTCTAAGATTACAACATATCTGTGGTTATGTAATAACACATCAGTTGTTATGTAATAGAAAAAATGAGACCGAATATTTGAGCACTGCTACTTGATGACGTCACAAAGTGCTTTGATACCGACTAGGTTATCTTCTCCTGTTGGGACTGGCTTTATCTATTCGGTATTTCCCGATTTCAGCGCGGGTAAAGACCATTGGAGGCTCGTAGGGTTGTGACCAACAAGTTTCATTGGTTTGTGACTGACAAGTTTCTTGTCTTTGTTGAAGTACATGTGACTGACAAGTTTCTAGTGTTAGTTGAAGTACATGTGTCTGACAAGTTTCTTGTTTTAGTTGAAGTACATGTGACTGACAAGTTTCTTGTTTTAGTTGAAGTACATGTGACTGACAAGTTTCTTGTCTTAGTTGAAGTACATGTGTCTGACAAGTTTCTTGTTTTAGTGGAAGTACATGTGACTGACAAGTTTCTAGTGTTAGTTGAAGTACATGTGTCTGACAAGTTTCTAGTGTTAGTTGAAGTACATGTGTCTGACAAGTTTCTTGTTTTAGTTGAAGTACATGTGACTGACAAGTTTCTTGTCTTAGTTGAAGTACATGTGACTGACAAGTTTCTAGTGTTAGTTGAAGTACATGTGTCTGACAAGTTTCTTGTTTTAGTTGAAGTACATGTGACTGACAAGTTTCTTGTCTTAGTTGAAGTACATGTGACTGACAAGTTTCTTGTCTTAGTTGAAGTGCATGTGACTGACAAGTTTCTTGTCTTAGTTGAAGTACATGTGACTGACAAGTTTTTTGTTACAGTAGAGCCGCCAGTTACTGACAAGTTTCTTGTTACAGTAGAGCCACCAGTGACTGACAAGTTTCTTGTGTTACAGTAGAGCCAGCAGTGACTGACAAGTTTCTTGTTACAGTAGAGCCACCAGTGACTGACAAGTTTCTTGTTACAGTAGAGCCGCCAGTGACTGACAAGTTTCTTGTGTTACAGTAGAGCCACCAGTGACTGACAAGTTTCTTGTTACAGTAGAGCCACCAGTGACTGACACGTTTCTTGTGTTACAGTAGAGCCACAAGTGACTGACAAGTTTCTTGTTACAGTAGAGCCACCAGTGACTGACAAGTTTCTTGTTACAGTAGAGCCACCAGTGACTGACAAGTTTCTTGTGTTACAGTAGAGCCACCAGTGACTGACAAGTTTCTTGTGTTACAGTAGAGCCACCAGTGACTGACAAGTTTCTTGTTACAGTAGAGCCACCAGTGACTGACAAGTTTCTTGTTACAGTAGAGCCACCAGTGACTGACAAGTTTCTTGTGTTACAGTAGAGCCACCAGTGACTGACAAGTTTCTTGTTACAGTAGAGCCACCAGTGACTGACAAGTTTCTTGTTACAGTAGAGATACCAGTGACTGACAAGTTTCTTGTGTTACAGTAGAGCCAGCAGTGACTGCCAAGTTTCTTGTTACAGTAGAGCCACCAGTGACTGACAAGTTTCTTGTTACAGTAGAGCCACCAGTGACTGACAAGTTTCTTGTGTTACAGTAGAGCCAGCAGTGACTGACAAGTTTCTTGTTACAGTAGAGCCACCAGTGACTGACAAGTTTCTTGTGTTACAGTAGAGCCACCAGTGACTGACAAGTTTCTTGTGTTACAGTAGAGCCACCAGTGACTGACAAGTTTCTTGTGTTACAGTAGAGCCACCAGTGACTGACAAGTTTCTTGTTACAGTAGAGCCACCAGTGACTGACAAGTTTCTTGTGTTACAGTAGAGCCACCAGTGACTGACAAGTTTCTTGTGTTACAGTAGAGCCACCAGTGACTGACAAGTTTCTTGTTACAGTAGAGCCACCAGTGACTGACAAGTTTCTTGTTACAGTAGAGCCACCAGTGACTGACAAGTTTCTTGTTACAGTAGAGCCACCAGTGACTGACAAGTTTCTTGTTACAGTAGAGCCACCAGTGACTGACAAGTTTCTTGTTACAGTAGAGCCACCAGTGACTGACAAGTTTCTTGTTACAGTAGAGCCACCAGTGACTGACAAGTTTCTTGTGTTACAGTAGAGCCACCAGTGACTGACAAGTTTCTTGTGTTACAGTAGAGCCACCAGTGACCGACAAGTTTCTTGTTACAGTAGAGCCACCAGTGAAGCAGAAGATGAAATTTGACGACATTGTTCTGCTGCTGGGGGAGTTTGGAACCTACCAGAAGAGAGTCTACTTCCTGCTCTGTCTGGCATCAATGTCATGTGGCATCCAGATCATGATCTCAGTCTTTAACATGGGATTACCTGAACACAGGTAAGTCAGTCTACGGAATGGGGTATGATGACGCAGTCTTTTGGGCCTGACGGTCCATAGAGCAAGGTGTGGTCATCAGCACAATGTCCAGCCGCCTTTACTTTCCCTAACTTGAGTCAGGTACCCACCAGAGCTGGTGGACTCAAGGATTAACACGTCTCAGATCTTTACTCGAGAGTTTGGGGTAGCAGTCGAGGGCTCTACCACGTGACCACGGTGTCCCATTGTCTTTTGATGCCATCTAAAACTACTCCCACCTGTTTGTGTAAGCAACAAATTCACCCTACAGGTGTGCTGTGCCCAACATGGACAACGACACGTTTGCGGTGCTGGACGCCGGACATCGCGAGCTTGTCAACAGCTCCATCCCGTGGGACGACGCTAAGGGAAGCTACTCTGAGTGTAGTGTTTGGTCACATGACAAAGATGGTGGTCGCCTCGTTGTCGACTGCAACAAATGGGTGTATGACGACTCGCTTTTCCAGTCTACCGTCGTCTCGAAGGTGAGCGGTCAAGTGGTGGGCTGTTCCGTCCACTGGTCAACAGCTGGGCTGTTCCGTCCACTGGTCAACAGCTGGGCTGTTCCGTCCACTGGTCAACAGCTGGGCTGTTCCGTCCACCATTGTCCTTATAGTTTGACATTTGTCCTTTCAGTTTAAAATTTGTCCTTAATTTGACCATAAGCTTACATTTGTCCTTTGTAGTTTCACCTTTGCAATTACTGACCTTTGTCCTTGCAGCTTGACATTTGTCCTTGCAATTTGACATTTGTCCTTGCAGCTTGACCTTTGTCCTTGCAGTTTGACCTTTGTCCTTGCAGTTTGACCTTTGTCCTTGCAGTTTGACCTTGTGTGTGAGAAGAAGATGTCCCGCTCCCACGCTCGGATGATTCTTATGGGAGGGCTCTTGCTTGGTGCCATAGGGACAGGGGTCGTGGCGGACTTGTAAGTGGGACAGGGGTCGTGGCGGACTTGTGAGTGGGACAGGGGTCGTGGCTGACTAAGTGGGACAGGGGTCGTGGCTGACTAAGTAGGACAGGGGTTGTGGCTGACTTGTAAGTGGGACAGGGGTCGTGGCGGACTTGTGAGTGGGACAGGGATCGTGGCTTACTTGTAAGTGGGACAGGGGTTGTGGCGGACTTGTGAGTGGGACAGGGGTCGTGGCGGACTTGTGAGTGGGACAGGAGTTGTGGCTGACTAAGTAGGACAGGGGTCGTGGCTGACTAAGTAGGACAGGGGTCGTGGCTGGTGTAAGTGGGACAGGGGTCGTGGCTGACTTGTAAGTGGGACAGGGGTTGTGGCTGACTAAGTAGGACAGGGGTCGTGGCTGGTGTAAGTGGGACAGGGGTCGTGGCTGACTTGTAAGTGGGACAGGGGTTGTGGCTGACTAAGTAGGACAGGGGTCGTGGCTGACTAAGTAGGACAGGGGTCGTGGCTGGTGTAAGTGGGACAGGGGTCGTGGCTGACTTGTAAGTGGGACAGGGGTCGTGGCTGACTTGTAAGTGGGACAGGGGTCGTGGCTGACTAAGTAGGACAGGGGTCGTGGCTGGTGTAAGTGGGACAGGGGTCGTGGCTGACTTGTGAGTGGGACAGGGGTCGTGGCGGACTTGTAAGTGGGACAGGGGTCGTGGCGGACTTGTAAGTGGGACAGGGGTCGTGGCTGACTTGTATGTGGGACAGGGGTCGTGGCTGACTAAGTGGGACAGGGGTCGTGGCTGACTTGTAAGTGGGACAGGGGTCCTGGCTGACTTGTGAGTGGGACAGGGGTCGTGGCTGACTTGTGAGTGGGACAGGGGTCGTGGCTGACTTGTAAGTGGGACAGGGGTCGTGGCTGACTTGTAAGTGGGACAGGGGTCGTGGCTGACTTGTAAGTGGGAAAGGGGTCGTGGCTGACTTGTAAGTGGGACAGGGGTCGTGGCTTACTTGTGAGTGGGACAGGGGTCGTGGCTTACTTGTAAGTGGGACAGGGGTCCTGGCTGACTTGTGAGTGGGACAGGGGTCGTGGCTGACTTGTAAGTGGGACAGGGGTCGTGGCTGACTTGTAAGTGGGACAGGGGTCGTGGCTGACTTGTAAGTGGGACAGGGGTCCTGGCTGACTTGTGAGTGGGACAGGGGTCGTGGCTTACTTGTAAGTGGGACAGGGGTCGTGGCTGACTTGTAAGTGGGACAGGGGTCGTGGCTGACTAAGTGGGACAGGGGTCGTGGCTGACTTGTGAGTGGGACAGGGGTCGTGGCTGACTTGTAAGTGGGACAGGGGTCGTGGCTTACTTGTGAGTGAGACAGGGGTCGTGGCTGACTTGTGAGTGGGACAGGGGTCGTGGCTGACTTGTAAGTGGGACAGGGGTCGTGGCTGACTAAGTAGGACAGGGGTCGTGGCTGACTTGTAAGTGGGACAGGGGTCGTGGCTGGTGTAATTGGGACAGGGGTCGTGGCTGACTTGTGAGTGGGACAGGGGTCGTGGCTGACTAAGTAGGACAGGGGTCGTGGCTGACTTGTGAGTGGGACAGGGGTCGTGGCTGACTTGTAAGTGGGACAGGGGTCGTGGCTGACTTGTGAGTGGGACAGGGGTCGTGGCTGACTAAGTGGGACAGGGGTCGTGGCTGACTTGTAAGTGGGACAGGGGTCCTGGCTGACTTGTGAGTGGGACAGGGGTCGTGGCTGACTTGTGAGTGGGACAGGGGTCGTGGCTGACTTGTAAGTGGGACAGGGGTCGTGGCTTACTTGTAAGTGGGACAGGGGTCGTGGCTGACTTGTAAGTGGGACAGGGGTCGTGGCTGACTTGTATGTGGGACAGGGGTCGTGGCTGACTTGTGAGTGGGACAGGGGTCGTGGCTGACTAAGTAGGACAGGGGTCGTGGCTGACTTGTGAGTGGGACAGGGGTCGTGGCTGACTTGTAAGTGGGACAGGGGTCGTGGCTGACTTGTGAGTGGGACAGGGGTCGTGGCTGACTTGTGAGTGGGACAGGGGTCGTGGCTGACTTGTGAGTGGGACAGGGGTCGTGGCTGACTTGTGAGTGGGACAGGGGTCGTGGCTGACTTGTGAGTGGGACAGGGGTCGTGGCTGACTTGTGAGTGGGACAGGGGTCGTGGCTGACTTGTGAGTGGGACAGGGGTCGTGGCTGACTTGTGAGTTGGACAGGGGTCGTGGCTGACTAAGTGCGACAGGGGTCGTGTTGGGCTAGTTTAGAATTTACCAATACCACAAAGTTAATAACTGCAATCTATTTATAGAATTGGCCGGAAGTTGGCTTTGATGGGAATGGTGGCGCTGCACGCGGCGTCTGCCATTGGTGTGGCCTGGGCCGACACCTTCGTCATCTACGTCATCCTGAGGTTCCTAACTGGCATCTCAATCAGCGGGCTCTTCCTGGCCATTTTTGTTCTAGGTCAGCCATTTTAAATGTGTCACATTTTTGTCCTAGGTCAGCCATTTTTGTCCTAGGTTAGCCATTTTAAATGTGTGTCACATGTGTGAATTAGTTCATCCCGTCCCACTATAGCAAGCAGTAAAACAAATATCTACTTTTTAAACCTGAATATCTACTTTTTAAAACTGGACAGAGTGTGCTGTATAAATTGTAGATAACGTGGTAAACTGTCATTCTGCAGTTTGTGTTATAAAATCTGTGTACAGTGTACAGCCCCTTTGTTCTTTAAAACTGCGCCCAAAATGAGAGCACACTGGGACAGTTGCTAGAGAAAACATTCATTAGAGTTACTTCCCTTCTAATCGTAATCTAATCTGAGTAAAACCAACATCATGTTGTGCACACGTTTAGCGTGTAGTTTTATCGTTTGTATGTTGTGAATTCTGTGTGGTACATTTATTATGTTGTTTGTTGTGTCACTTGGGTGTCGTATGATGTACTTGTAGTTTACTGTATGTCTCTAATGGGGCTCTTTTGTATAAGGCTGGGTAGTACATCTAATGTTGTATACCGTCTAATGTTGTCTAATGTTGTATACCGTCTAATGTTGTCTAATGTATAACGTCTAATGTTGTCTATTGTTGTATAACGTCTAATGTTGTCTAATGTTGTATACCGTCTAATGTTGTCTAATGTTGTATAACATCAAATGTTGTATACCGTCTAATGTTGTCTAATGTTGTATAACATCAAATGTTGTCTAATGTTGTATACCGTCTAATGTTGTATAACATCAAATGTTGTATACCGTCTAATGTTGTCTAATGTTGTATAACATCAAATGTTGTATAACGTCTAATGTTGTCTAATGTTGTATAACATCAAATGTTGTATAACGTCTAATGTTGTCTAATGTTGTATAACATCAAATGTTGTATAACGTCTAATGTTGTATAACATCAAATGTTGTATAATGTCTAATGTTGTCTAATGTTGTATAACATCAAATGTTGTATAACGTCTAATGTTGTCTAATGTTGTATAACATCAAATGGTGTATAACATCTAATGTTGTCTAATGTTGTATAACGTCAAATGTTGTCTAATGTTGTCTAATGTTGTATACCGTCTAATGTTGTATACCGTCTAATGTTGTATAACATCTAATGGTGTCTAATGTTGTATAACATCTAATGGTGTCTAATGTTGTATACCATCTAATGTTGTACCCCAGGCATGGAGCTGGTCGGGCCGTCTAAGCGGATGTTTGTGGGGATTGTTGTGGAGATCTTCTGGGCGGCGGGCGTCATGATATTGGGCGGCATCGCCTACTTCATCAGAGACTGGAACTACCTGCAGATGGCCGTCTCTTTTCCCATCCTACTTTTGTTTTCCTACTGGTGGTAAGTGTGTCTGTGTATAAGTGTGTGTGTTTATGTGACGTCACTTGCTAGTTCACTATAGCATCTGTCTTGTTCATGATCTTTAAAAGAAAAGGATCAATTTGGTAGGTGGGTAAATCAGGTTCTTCCCCCCCCCCTCCCAGCCCTGTTTTAAAACACTAAAACAATATTAGCGTCACTCATCCCATATGACCTCTGACCTCATCCCATTTGACCTCTGTCCTCGTCCCAACACTATTGTGACTTCTGGCGTCATCCCATCATTAGCGTGACCTCTGACCCCACCCCCTTCATTAGCGTGACCTCTGACCCCATCCCATCATTAGCGTGACCTCTTTCCCCCCCCCCCCCTTCCCCCCACCCCATCATTAGCGTGACCTCTGCCCCCCCCCCCCATCATTAGCGTGACCTCTGACCCCCCCCCCCCCCCCCCCATCATTAGCGTGACCTCTGACCCCACATCTTACTGTGTGCTGTAGGCTGATCCCCGAGTCCCCCCGTTGGCTGATAGCCAGGGGTCAGACAGAAAAGGCTGGAGCCATAATCCGGCATGCGGCTAGGGTGAACGGCGTGAAGGTTCCAGAAGAAATCTTTGACGGGCTGGTGCTGGTGGAGGAGAGCAAGCAGGAGAGACTGTGGACGGTGTTTACCTCCCCTCGCTTCATGCTCAGGCTCGTCATACTCTGCTACAACTGGTGAGTCGTTCCTGACATCTGCTGACATCTGGTGTGTCAGTGGTGACCTGGTGTGTCATTACTGACATTTGGTGACCTGGTGTGTCATTAGTGACATCTGGTGTGTCAGTGGTGAAATCTGCTGCGTGACTGATGAGTTGTGTCATTGGTGACATCCGTTGAGATGTGGTTGAGAACATGTGGTGGGTTGTGAGATTGGTGACATCTGATGACCTGTGATTTGGTGACCTGGTGTGTCATTGGTGACATCTGGTGACATTGTGTGCCGTTAGTGACATACGTGTGATTGGTTGTATCTGGTGAATTGGGTGTGATGAGTTTGTGAATGATGACATTTGGTGAGTTGTGTGTGAACGGTGATACTTGATGTGTTTGACTGATGTATACCATCTATCTGTTGTTCCCCTGATGCCCCCCCCCCCCAGGCTGGTGAGCGCCATGGTGTTCTATGGTCTGAGCCTCAACTCCGGGAACCTAGCGGGGAACATCTACGTGAACTTTGAACTGATGGGCGTGGTCGAGATCATCGCCTACTGCATCTGTCTGGTCGGGCTCAACAGGGTTGGTCGCAAGTTCATCCACATCACGTGCATGGTCGTAGGGGGCGGGGCTTGCCTCAGTACCATCTTTACCGTGCTGTATGCTCATGAGTGTGAGTAGACGTCATCGTTTGCTACACGTCATCATGTAGTAGATCTTGTTCTATAGATAAACTGGTACTAGCAGTGTTGATTACGTCATTAGAAATGAAAAGAATAGAAAAAATTTAACCGTCATTGTATGCAAATTGTAAACAAATGTTATCAATGTAAAATTTGTAACAGTGTAACAACATGTACCAATGTGTAACAATATGTACCAATGTGTACCAATGTGTACATTGCAATATGTACCAATGTTCCCTCCTGTCCCCAGCCTTACAATGGATCAACATAGTCCTAGCACTGGTGGGGAAGTGTGGGGCGGCGGCAGCTTTTGCCACCATCTACGTTTACTCCGCGGAGTTGTTCCCCACCATTTTAAGGAACTCTTTGATGGGAGTTACCTGCCTTTTCGCTAGAGCGGGAGGGATGATCTCCCCTTATATAGCAGATCTGGTAAGTCACATAACAGTTAACATTTTATAACTTTAAAACTTATAGTTTCGTCAGTTTCGTGTCCATTCTATTTTTTAAAAGTATTCAAAATTAATTTATATTGGCGTTTATTTTTTTTAAAAATGTATTACAACGTTAGCACAAATATACAACCAACATAGACTTACTAGACTAGAAGAAAAAAGATATATTTTTATTGACAAACAATTCAGTTAAATTGTGACCGAAGCTATTTTTGTATGCTGCAGAGCACCATAGTCTCTGGTCAGTTTGGTCAAGCGCTGCCCCTGATTGTCTTTGGTGCCACAACTGTTGCTGGAGGTCTTTTGTGTGTGGTGCTGCCTGAAACACTGAACAAACCTCTACCAGAGACACTAGAGGATGCTGTGGACTTTGGCAGGTTGGTAGTTTGGTAGTTAACTCCAGGCAGGTTGGTAATGAAATATGACAGGATGGTAGTTAACTGTGGCAGGTTGGTAGTTTGGTAGTGAACTGTGGGCAGGTTGGCAATGAAATATGACAGGATGGTAGTTAACTGTGAAAGTTTGGTAGTTAACTGTGACAGGTTGGCAGTTAACTGTGACAGTTTGGTAGTTTTCTGTGACAGTTTGGTAGTTTTCTGTGACAGGTTGGTAGTTTTCTGTGACAGGTTGGTAGTTTACTGTGACAGGTTGGTAGTTAACTGTGACAGTTTGGTAGTTTTCTGTGACAGGTTGGTAGTTTACTGTGACAGGTTGGTAGTTTTCTGTGACAGGTTGGTAGTGTTCTGTGACAGGTTGGTAGTTTTCTGTGACAGGTTGGTAGTGTTCTGTGACAGGTTTTGTAGTTAACTGTGACAGGTTGGTAGTTAACTGTGGGTCTGTGTCTCTGTGTGACCAACATATTCTGACCATGTAGGAAAACCTGTGAAGAGAAGCAGAGACCTGATGATGAAGGGAGCTGGGACATACAGTGTGAGGAGCTCACGGCTCTGTCCAATGGAATCTCCAGTCTACCAGAGGGCACGCAGGAAACTAAGATTGTTGTATGATGGTTGTTGGCTTAGTATCTAGTTGTCAGTCTACCAGAGGCCACGCAGTAGTATCTAGTTGTCAGTCTACCAGAGGCCACGCAGGAAACTAAAATTGTTGTATGATGGTTGTTGGCTTAGTATCTAGTTGTCAGTCTACCAGAGGCCACGCAGTAGTATCTAGTTGTCAGTCTACCAGAGGCCACGCAGGAAACTAAAATTGTTGTATGATGGTTGTTGGCTTAGTATCTAGTTGTCAGTCTACCAGAGGCCACGCAGGAAACTAAGATTGTTGTATGATGGTTGTTGGCTTAGTATCTAGTTGTCAGTCTACCAGAGGCCACACAGGAAACTAAAATTGTTGTATGATGGTTGTTGGCTTAGTATCTAGTTGTCAGTCTACCAGAGGCCACACAGGAAACTAAAATTGTTGTATGATGGTTGTTGGCTTAGTTCTCTCAAACTCTTGTATATTTATTATTAAGTTATAGTAAGTTTCCTCTTCATTTTTGTATAGTACAGTAGGGTTTTAAAATTTTTACCAAATTTTAATGTTGTTGATATCTTGAGCCATTTGTAATTTAATATTGTGTTCAAATGTAAAACTTGAAGTTAGATGCCAGACAGCATTCACATATTTGTATGCAAACTCTTTCATCATTTAATTTCTATGATGTGGTTTCTTGTATGGGGGGAATGTATGTCATTAATCATCTGATCTATTCATTTGGAGCTCAACCGGATCCATAATTTTTAACTAGTTGACCTTTGCCCTCATCATCCAGTCTTTCAGTCTCACACGACATCTTTCTATCATAGTACATCTATCATAGTATCATAGTACATCTATCATAGTATCATAGTACATCTATCATAGTATCATAGTACATCTATCATAGAACATCTATCATAGTATCATAGTACATCTATCATAGTACATCTATCATAGTATCATAGTACATCTATCATAGTATCATAGTACATCTATCATAGTATCATAGTACATCTATCATAGAACATCTATCATAGTACATCTATCATAGTATCATAGTACATCTATCATAGTATCATAGTACATCTATCATAGTATCATAGTACATCTATCATAGTATCATAGTACATCTATCATAGTATCATAGTACATCTATCATAGTATCATAGTACATCTATCATAGTATCATAGTACATCTATCATAGTATCATAGTACATCTATCATAGTATCATAGTACATCTATCATAGTATCATAGTACATCTATCATAGTATCATAGTACATCTATCATAGTATCATAGTACATCTATCATAGTACATCTATCATAGTATCAGAGTACATCTATCATAGTATCATAGTACATCTATCATAGTATCAGAGTACATCTATCATAGTATCATAGTACATCTATCATAGTATCATAGTACATCTATCATAGTATCATAGTACATCTATCATAGTATCATAGTACATCTATCATAGTATCATAGTACATCTATCATAGTATCATAGTACATCTATCATAGTATCAGAGTACATCTATCATAGTATCATAGTACATCTATCATAGTACATCTATCATAGTACATCTATCATAGTATCATAGTACATCTATCATAGTATCATAGTACATCTATCATAGTATCATAGTACATCTATCATAGTATCATAGTACATCTATCATAGTATCATAGTACATCTATCATAGTATCATAGTACATCTATCATAGTATCATAGTACATCTATCATAGTACATCTATCATAGTATCAGAGTACATCTATCATAGTACATCTATCATAGTACATCTATCATAGTAAATCATTTGATAGCAACTTGACTCAGCCAAAGGGTACCCAGTACACTGCGCTATCTAATGCACACCAGCACATTCCTGCATACGTTAGTAGCCTGCTTATCTTAGATGTCACTTGACATGGTGAACACTACACTCTCAGATGTCATTTGACATGGTGAACACTACACTCTCAGATGTCATTTGACATTAAGAACACTAGGATACGCCAATATGTTTGACTCACTCACAAGTTGTATGGGGAAGAGGGAATAATGCAGAAGGAGAGTTGTATGGAAGGGAGAGAGGGGAGTTGTATGGAAGGGAGAGAGGAGAGTTGTATGGAAGGGAGAGAGGGGAGTTGTATGGAAGGGAGAGAGGACTTGTAGGGGAGTTGTATGGAAGGGAGAGAGGGGAGTTGTATGGAAGGGAGAGAGGAGAGTTGTATGGAAGGGAGAGAGGGGAGTTGTATGGAAGGGAGAGAGGACTTGTAGGGGAGTTGTATGGTGATAGGGGTCCAATTTTAATATTCTGGTGAATGAAGCATTTACAATTATTTAAATTTTCTCATACTATTTTTGTGTCAAAACTGACATACAAAAGGTGATTAAAAATGTTTTACTATGAAATCCCAAGATTTTATTTTGCTTACGCTCATGTGATTGTGTTAACTCTTGTTTTACAAAGCTCATATCACTGCCGAGAGTTTTTTGCATTTTGTCTCTTGAGTTATCTTAAATAATATTTTTATGATGTTGTTTTTCCATCAACCTATGGTCCAATGTATTGCCTGTTGTAATTACACATAATTCTTTTTTATATTAATTATTGTAATTAGAGATTATTCTCGTTAAATTGATTATTGTAATTAGACATCATTCATGCTGTATTGCTTGTCAGATCAACTAATGACTTTTGTTAAATGTTTCTCCTCCGTCATCTAGAATAAATAACTTATTTATGTAGACTTTTTTAATATAATTTTTCATTGTTTATTTACAATACAGTTTACCATACATTTTTTTTTAAAGGTGCTTTTGGCTTAGTAGGCAACTAGGTTGATAAATAGGTTATGGGTATCTGAATTTTGGTATCATTCAGGTAATGTTACGGTAAATTTATGAAAAAATTTGCTGTGATAAGAAGTTGATAAATTGTATTTATTTACATTTATTACTTGATTTTATAGATTATCTGTGCATGTAGGTCATTCTTTTGATCCATTTTACTATTTGATTCATCTTCATACACTATTAAAATATATTAAAAGATATCCATTAAAATGACCCTTTTGTTTGTTCAATTTTTTTTTAAACTTCTGGTTCAAGAAAGTAGAATTTGGTGAAAATATAATCAGGTGATTGCGGCTGGTAGAGGTTAACATTGTTAACATTCAGTGGTGTTGGCTGGATATTTTACAGCTGCTGGTAGATGGTTAACATTGTTAACATTCAGTGGTGTTGGCTGGATGCAATATTTTACAGCAGCTGCTGAGTGGGGGGGGGGGGGGGGGGGTTTGCAGCCACCTGTATAACATTTTCCTTGTAAGGTGTTCTTTAAGGAAGGGGGGACAACTTGAAGAAGGTCCTTAACACTTCTGTGGCCATGATTCTGGTGGTATGTATGCTTTCTATCACTGATTTTTTTCATCTTGTTGGGAACTCTTAATTCAAATACTTAAACCTTATAATTTTGTGAATCAATAAATAACAGACTTCATGTGCTTACTAGAGCTAGACACTTTTCCATTGTATGTTGAGGTCAATGAAACAGGTGAATTCTGTGTCCCATGTGTTTTGGGCACAAACGTGAAAAGATAATGATGATGACTAAGGCTAGAGTTACATAGACATATGGTGACAAGTGTAAAGTATGGTGTATTTGGTGTCATTTACTAACTGCTACATTCTAGGCAAGATTATCTGCCCTAAAAATTAAGCAGTTTTCACCTTAATCTAATTAGTTTTTTTAATGTAAAGATCTATCAGGACCTGGATTATTTTTTTTTGGTTAGTTATCATGGGGGAAAAGACGATTAGTGGATTATGTATCAGTGTTTGACATCGTATTTATTATAAATTAAAATAATGCGAAGTTTTAAAAAGAATTTTTCCGATTACAGTTTTTATAGTGAAACGAAACCTAATCTACAAGGCCAAACAAAGTCATGCCTACCTACGAGTTATCGGTTATAATAAAAGCTTTACAGCGGGTAAATATTCTATTTTATTTTTAAATGAACCTCTTATTAGATCTACCTACTTGCTAATTTTTAAACATAAGCTTAAAGCTAGGTCTAGAAGACGGTAGTCCCCTATTTATTTGACTAATGACTAATAATTAAAATTCTAGTTTAGAACTCACAATGACCCAATTTTAAAAGAATTTTTCGTATTACTAGACTAGACTCTTTCTAGATCTAGATCTAGATTAGATCTAGCTAGACTCTGTAGATCTAACTAATTTACTTGGTTTGGGGAAAAAAATTGAAGTGACATTTCTGACGATCTCAGATAGCAATGTTAACAAGCTATGTAGAAAAAGCTAGCATGCAACAACATGTATTTTGTGTGCGCTGTGCTCTAGGCACTCTAAGTAAAAGTCTTATACAAAGATTGAAAGAAAGATTCATGTATTTTACAAAATTACTGCGCTGTTGCTGTAGGACTGTAGGTTTAAAACTACTGCACAACCAGAGTGATCCCTAAAACTACTGCACAACCAGAGTGATCCCTAAAACTACTGCACAACCAGAGTGATCCCTAAAACTACTGCACAACCAGAGTGATCCCTAAAACTACTGCACAACCAGAGTGATCCCTAAAACTACTGCACAACCAGAGTGATCCCTAAAACTACTGCACAACCAGAGTGATCCCTAAAACTACTGCACAACCAGAGTGATCCCTAAAACTACTGCACAACCAGATGATCCCTAAAACTACTGCACAACCAGAGTGATCCCTAAAACTACTGCACAACCAGAGTGATCCCTAAAACTACTGCACAACCAGAGTGATCCCTAAAACTACTGCACAACCAGATGATCCCTAAAACTACTGCACAACCAGAGTGATCCCTAAAACTACTGCACAACCAGATGATCCCTAAAACTACTGCACAACCAGAGTGATCCCTAAAACTACTGCACAACCAGAGTGATCCCTAAACCCTGTCAGCTCTTTTCTCCCCTGGACAAGAAAATGTCAGTGGGTGGTCATTGGAGCAAGGACATTTAGAATCTAGAATTGGCTTGTTTCTTGAATAATTTTTAACCTAGATTAAAAAAACATAGGAACACTCGTGATTGATCTATACTTGTTTGGTTGAAAACTTCTAGCAAAGTCTAAAAGCTTTTCTCACATTTTTTTGTATGTTTTTAGCCTTAGCTAGCCTGTGTGAATTTCAATCTGTTTTGTATGTTTGTAGCCTGAGCTAGCTCAGAAATGTTGCGTGCAAATTTCAATCAGATATTTTGTATGTTTGTAGCCTGAGCTAGCCCAGGTCATCAAAAGATGCTGCACACATGTTTTGGACCAAGGGGGAATGATCAGAAAAATGGAGAACCTTGGTTTGAAGCCCTTGCCTTACAGGATGAAAAACCATGGACAGAAATTTTATGAAGGAAAGTAAGTAATTTATATACTTAAAAATTACTATTGAAAAGTGTATTAAAAAAATAAAAATAGTATACCAGAATGTATATAAATTAATTTATTAAGATCATAAGTAGTATCAATGTATAATAAGTTTAGGTTGCCCAAAAAAAACATTAAGTATTGACACAAATCTTTAACATTCATCGCCTGCAGTTTTCTATTTGTTGATTATATCCACAGCTATATCCTGATCTATCATTTGTTCATTATATCAGCAGCTATATTGTTGATTATATCAGCAGCTATATTGTTGATTCTATCCACAGCTATATCCTGATCCATTTTGACGCACCAACAACCATACCTAAACAGCTGGGCGAGATCTTTACGTTGGACACAGACATCATACGTAAAAATATTTTCACCCAGGAGGAGTTTTCTCCCCCCTGCTTGCTTAAACCCTGTGAGTTTGGAGAGCTGAGCAACCCAGATCACGAGAAGAGTATTTGGTGGCGTCGCGTCAGGAGGAGGAACATGAGGTGGGAGAGGAGAAAGGAGCAGAAGAAGGTCTAGGTCACAGCCATGGATTGAACAATTGATTCGTTGGATTGTCAGAGATTGTGTGGTGATACCACGGTGCAGTGAGTGATAACACAACGGTGTGAGTGATTGCGATTGTCAGAGATTGTGTGGTGATACCATGATGGAGTGAGTGATAACACGACGGAGTGAGTGATTGTGATTGTCAGAGATTGTGTGGTGATACCACAATCGAGTGAGTGATAACACAACGGTGTGAGTGATTGTGATTGTCAGAGATTGTGTGGTGATACCACAATCGAGTGAGTGATTGATTTGTTTGACTATCAGTGAACAGATGTAAAGACTTAGTGTACTGTATCTGTTGTGGTGTGGCACCAATGTTTACTGTATCTGTTGTGGTGTGGCACCAATGTTTACTGTATCTGTTGTGGTGTGGCACCAATGTTTACTGTATCTGTTGTGGTGTGGCACCAATGTTTACTGTATCTGTTGTGGTGTGTCACCAATGTTTACTGTATCTGTTGTGGTGTGGCACCAATGTTTACTGTATCTGTTGTGGTGTGGCACCAATGTTTACTGTATCTGTTGTGGTGTGGCACCAATGTTCATTTTGTTTGGCATTACTGAAAACATAACTTCATTCATTCATGTAACACAAGCTAAAATGTTTGAAATAAAAAAAAAATGATTTTTGTTTTTGTTGTTATATTTAATTTATATGAGATTTGGTTTTATTTATGACTTTAAGTGTTGAAAAGTAGCAATTTCTCAAAACAGACCCACCCCCCTTCCTCTATATAATTAAGAAAGCCTAAGTTTTACTTAAAACATGATGTTCAGTTATGCAGATGGATTAGAGTTTTCTTTAACCTTGGCATGTGAAGGCTACCTAACAGCTGGCATGACTCTGCAACATATCTAATTATATGTTGTAAGTTGTAAAGTGGCACTCAATCTATGGGACATATCTAATTATATGTTGTAAAGTAGCACTCAATCTATGGGACATAGCTAATTATATGTTGTAAAGTAGCACTCAATCTATGGGACATATCTAATTATATGTTGTAAAGTAGCACTCAATCTATGGGACATATCTAATTATATGTTGTAAAGTAGCACTCAATCTATGGGACATATCTAATTATATGTTGTAAAGTTGCACACAATGTATGAGATGGAATATAATTGTGTTGTAAAGTAGCAATCTATGAACATATCTAATTATATGTTGTAAAGTAGCACTCAATCTATGGGACATGTATAATTGTGTTGTAAAGTAGCAGAAATCACACCACTTATCAGATGAGGCTGTGAACGATCAAAATTTTAAAAAGTTCAACTGGCAAACATCTAATACAGCAGAGGACGGCAACAGCGGATTACCCCTCTTTGTCTGTGTAGGTTGCGCGAGTTATCTTTTCCTTACACACTGCGTTCCTAGACTGGCCAAGTAACTCTTGATTTCTTGAAAGGTAATTTTAACCTTTGAACTTATTCTTTTCGTGCTGCTTGTAGAGGCCTGTGTTAATTAGTTTTTAATTACACAGATATTGACCTCTAACAGTTGTCCTTAGATCTAAGTCTGCGTGTGTCCACAACTTAAATGGGGTCAGTCTTGACCCCACCAATTCATCTGCTTGAAAACATCGCAATTATTTATAGTAGGCCTACTTATGGAGTTGTTCGGTGGATTTTATGTATTATTTAGAAAACTACCAGCTGTATGTGCGGGTTATAACTACCCATATGTTAGGTGGGCTTATTTAACTGCCCATATTTATAGTATAGGCCCTATGACAAACTCAAGCTTATCCGGTATATAACTGCCAATTGCCAATATGTCTGTTTTATTATTTGTTATTCTGATGGGAATTTTTTTGTCCATAGATTAGTCCTATATTTACTAAAATTTATGTTGAGTAAATAGGTCAATTTATATCGTAGCCTTCTCATTGGTTGTCTCCGTATGTGAATATTTTCTGTATTTTGATTGGTCACTAATGCCCTGTTTATGTTTAATATAGCACAGCTCAGATTTGGAACGGCTTTGTAACTTAAATGTAAGTAGAGTATTTGGTCGTCTGTTAATCAGACATGGCCGTCTATTCATCATACTTGACCGTCAACCATGAAATCATAGCGATACAACATTGAAAATAAGTACTCATCAGAAACGAGAAATTCCCCCTCCATCACACCCACTGTTTCTTTCAGACATTTGTCTCCGGATGTCGGAGGAATGGGGGCGCATACTGGTTAAAATATATATTTAGTGTAGAACTACATTTTGTTAGGCGCCCACCACCCCCTTGAAGATGCCTGAAAGAAACTCCACAGCCATAGAGCACCAGCAGATTGTATTCCCCCCCCCCCCCACACCAGCAGCTAACACCAGATTGTGTTCCCCCACACCAGCAGCTTACACCAGATTGTGTTCCCCCACACCAGCAGCTAACATCAGATTGTGTTCCTCCAGTCATAGAGCACCAGCAGATAACATCAGGTTGTGTTCCCCCACACCAGCAGCTAACATCAGATTGTGTTCCCCCACACCAGCAGCTAACATCAGATTGTGTTCCCCCACACCAGCAGCTAACACCAGATTGTGTTCCCCCACACCAGCAGCTAACATCAGATTGTGTTCCCCCACACCAGCAGCTAACATCAGATTGTGTTCCTCCAGCCATAAAGCACCAGCAGCTAACATCAGATTGTGTTCCCCCAGTCATAGAGCACCAGCAGCTAACACCAGATTGTGTTCCCCCACACCAGCAGCTAACATCAGATGTGTTCACCCAGCCATATAGCACCAGCAGCTAACATCAGATTGTGTTCCCCCACGCCAGCAGCTAACATCAGATTGTGTTCCCCCACACCAGCAGCTAACATCAGATTGTGTTCCCCCACACCAGCAGCTAACATCAGATTGTGTTCCCCCACGCCAGCAGCTAACATCAGATTGTGTTCCCCCACACCAGCAGCTAACATCAGATTGTGTTCCCCCACACCAGCAGCTAACATCAGATTGTGTTCCCCCAGCCATAGAGCACCAGCAGCTAACATCAGATTGTGTTCCCCCAGCCATAGAGCACCAGCAGCTAACATCAGATTGTGTTCCCCCAGCCATAGAGCACCAGCAGCTAACATCAGATTGTGTTCCCCCAGCCATAGAGCACCAGCAGCTAACATCAGATTGTGTTCCCCCACACCAGCAGCTAACATCAGATTGTGTTCCCCCAGCCATAGAGCACCAGCAGCTAACATCAGGTTGTGTTCCCCCACACCAGCAGCTAACATCAGGTTGTGTTCCTCCAACCATAGAACACCAGCAGCTAACATCAGATTGTGTTCCTCCAACCATAGAACACCAGCAGCTAACACCAGATTGTGTTCCTCCAACCATAGAACACCAGCAGCTAACATCAGATTGTGTTCCCCCAGCCATAGAGCACCAGCAGCTAACATCAGGTTGTGTTCCCCCACACCAGCAGCTAACACCAGATTGTGTTCCTCCAACCATAGAACACCAGCAGCTAACATCAGATTGTGTTCCCCCAGCCATAGAGCACCAGCAGCTAACATCAGGTTGTGTTCCCCCACACCAGCAGCTAACATCAGATTGTGTTCCCCCACCTCCACAGATGCTGCCAACAGTTCCAGACAACATCATGGCTGCCGTCGTGGCCGGGTCGCTGGTCAAGCTAACATCGATGGTCATCGTTGGCTGCAGCCATAGGAAGATGTTTCAGAAGGTAGGGACATTTGTCCGGCCAGTAGGTGGGGACATTTGTCCGGCCAGTAGGTGGGGACATTTGTCCGGCCAGTAGGTGGGGACATTTGTCCGGCCAGTAGGTGGGGACATTTGTCCGGCTAGTAGGTGGGGACATTTGTCCGGCCAGTAGGTGGGGACATTTGTCCGGCCAGTAGGTGGGGACATTTGTCCGGCCAGTAGGTGGGGACATATGCCCGGCCAGTAGGTGGGGACATTTGTCCGGCCAGTAGGTGGGGACATTTGTCCGGCCAGTAGGTGGGGACATTTGTCCGGCCAGTAGGTGGGGACATTTGTCCGGCCAGTAGGTGGGACATTTGTCCGGCCAGTAGGTGGGGACACTTGTCCGGCCAGTAGGTGGGGACATTTGTCCGGTCAGTAGGTGGGGAAATTTGTCCGACCAGTAGGTGGGGACATTTGTCCGGCCAGTAGGTGGGGACATTTGTCCGGTCAGTAGGTGGGGACATATGCCCGGCCAGTAGGTGGGGACATATGCCCGGCCAGTAGGTGGGGACATTTGTCCGGTCAGTAGGTGGGGACATTTGTCCGGCCAGTAGGTGGGGACATTTGTCCGGCCAGTAGGTGGGGACATTTGTCCGGCCAGTAGGTGGGGACATTTGTCCGGCCAGTAGGTGGGACATTTGTCCGGCCAGTAGGTGGGGACACTTGTCCGGCCAGTAGGTGGGGACATTTGTCCGGTCAGTAGGTGGGGAAATTTGTCCGACCAGTAGGTGGGGACATTTGTCCGGCCAGTAGGTGGGGACATTTGTCCGGTCAGTAGGTGGGGACATATGCCCGGCCAGTAGGTGGGGACATATGCCCGGCCAGTAGGTGGGGACATTTGTCCGGTCAGTAGGTGGGGACATTTGTCCGGCCAGTAGGTGGGGACACTTGTCCGGCCAGTAGGTGGGGACATTTGTCCGGTCAGTAGGTGGGGACATTTGTCCGGCCAGTAGGTGGGGACATTTGTCCGGCCAGTAGGTGGGGACATTTGTCTGGCCAGTAGGTGGGGACATTTGTCCGGCCAGTAGGTGGGGAAATTTGTCCGACCAGTAGGTGGGGACATTTGTCCGGCCAGTAAGGGGGGGGGGGTACATTTGTCCGGTCAGTAGGTGGGGACATTTGTACGGCCGTACGGACCTCTCTAGTGTACTGTAGGATCACCCTGCAAGTTCGGGAGAAGGAAATTCCCCCCCCCCCCCCCGTCCATTTTGCCCACTTGTTATTTTAACCCCCCCCCCCACTCCCCGCCCCCAAACGTTATCCTCAGATCTATTTCTATTACCCCCTGTCGATAACCCACCTCTCCCCTAATCCCTACATTTCCCTAATCCAAAAAGGTTGCTGCTGGACATTCACCCTCCCCCCCCCCCACCATAGATAATAGGGATATAGGATAGGACATGTATAGGGACGCCTGCTTTTGATGTTCATTGTATTTGTTGAATTGATATAATTAATTGATATCATCGAGTCCCCTGTTTGTCACACTACTCCTGTTGCCTGTCCCCTGTTTGCAGGTAGGGACAGTAGACAGCCTGTACATGTACCCTGTGAAGTCCTGCGGGGCAGTCAGCCTGTCGCAGGCACAGTGTACGCCTGTAGGTCTGTCATCGTTTGGCGTGTCGGACAGGTAGGTCTGTCAATGTTTGTTGGACAGGTGGGTCTGTCAATGTTGGCTGGACAGGTGGGTCTGTCAATGTTTGCTGGACAGGTGGGTCTGTCAATGTTTGTTGGACAGGTGGGTCTGTCAATGTTGGCTGGACAGGTGGGTCTGTCAATGTTTGTTGTGTGGCCATGGCCTGATGGTGAGATCTCAAGGTCTTCGTCACAGGTGGGTTGACTCAGCATAGGTGGGCTAGCTCTAACAGTGGATTATCCTGTACCTTATCCCAGACAGTGGATTATCCTGTTCCTTATCCCAGACAGTGGATTATCTTGTACCTTATCCCAGACAGTGGATTATCCTGTTCCTTATCCCAGACAGTGGATTATCTTGTACCTTATCCCAGACAGTGGATTATCCTGTTCCTTATCCCAGACAGTGGATTATCCTGTTCCTTATCCCAGACAGTGGATTATCCTGTTCCTTATCCCAGACAGTGGATTATCCTGTACCTTATCCCAGACAGTGGATTATCCTGTACCTTATCCCAGACAGTGGATTATCTTGTACCTTACCCCAGACAGTGGATTATCTTGTACCTTATCCCAGACAGGGGATTATCTTGTACCTTATCCCAGACAGTGGATTATCCTGTTCCTTATCCCAGACAGTGGATGATCCTGGACGAGGCTGGCCGGGTGGTCACCATGAAAGAGGAGCCGAGACTGACCCTGGTCACGTGTCACAGTGAGGGCAATGACCTAGTGCTCCGGGCTCCAGGTCTTGATGACCTTCACCTCGACAAGAGACCTGACCTGCAGGCGCCAACACTGCTGCAGTACAGGTAGGTCAAGGTCATGTCCTGGTCATGTCCTGTTGTAGTAGGTAAAGCACCTGCTATCTCTAGCAATTTAACTGGTCAATCTTCCAGTCTGGTCATTTTACCAAAACAGTCACTTCCTATACAGTGTTTCTTCCAGGCATCTCTTCGAGGGGGGGGGGGGGCTATATCGCCCCCCCCCCCCCGAACGAAATGGAAAAAGTCTGGAAGAAACACTGTTCCTATACCTCAACAGCGGGACAGCTATACTTACCACTAGCAAGTCTTTTGGGTGGGCGTGGTCATCTCTTTAACGTTATATAGAAAGACTTGTTTTATATATCATGGCGACACTTCTGTGACGGATGTGTTTTTAGATTCTACCAAGTCAAACGAAGACGTTAACGACTGTCTTTACACCTGTAGGCGGTGCAAGGAGAAGATAACTGTGGTCTACTGCGGGCAGGGGGCGGAGCAGTGGATCTCAAGCTACCTGCGGCGTCCTGCCACGCTGGTTTTCTCCTGCCCAGAGCTGGGTGTGAGGGACGTCTACAGGAGGTCAAGGCACTGGCCCAACACTGCCAGGGACGGGGATGTTGTAGGCATATTGGTTTAGGGAACTGGGTGTAGGGAACTTGTTGTTGTAGGCATATTGGTTTAGGGAACTGGGTGAAGGGAACTTGTTATACGCATATTGGTCTAGGGAACTGGGTGTAGGGAACTTGTTATAGGCATATTGGTCTAGGGAACTGGGTGTAGGGAACTTGTTATAGGCATATTGGTCTAGGGAACTTGGTGTTGGGAACTGGGTGAAGGGAACTTGGTGTAGGGAACTTATTAGTTTAGTAACGAATTTTTTGGTGTTGTAAGGAATTTTTTACCCAACACGGCATAATCCTGCCTAAGCCACTGCCTGAATGCAATAAAAAAATAAAATAGTAAAGTAAAAGAAATCGGGAAACTAAAATACCTATTAAAACACGTCTTTGTCCCCTCCCTACCAATCAGACAATCTTCGCCTACCTGACCTCCTACCTTCTCACGACAACAAAGTCATTGGACCATGTCAATAGCCAGGTGTCAGGTCACGTGTCTAGCGTCAACTTCCGGCCGAACATCGTCATCAACAACAGCGAGCCATTCGATGAGGTAAGTCTGTCGTCTGTTTGTTGTTTCATTGTTTCTGTGACAAACGATGTTGTTGTTGTGTGTGGCGACTTGTGATTGTGTCGTACTTTACTTACCCCACGTACTTGGCAGTAAGTAACACAGCAAAACCTAACTACTAACAAAACACCGCTGTCTCGGATTTGAACATCCAACTTAATCTTTCAATTGAAATCAAATAAACAAACCCATGCCACAAAGTTAGTTCAGCTAAACTTCCCGCATAAAATTCCTTCGTTGATTTACCTACGTACTAGCGATCTAATGAATTAATGAATATTTGTGTTCAGTTAGCTGCCAGTTAGCACATAAGTTACTGGCGATCTAATGAACAAATCAATATTTGTGTTCAGTTAGCACATAAGCTACTAGCAATCTAAGGAACAAAATAATTACATTATTAGTTCCTTCAGTTCACCAAAATTAGCAACACAACACCGACATAACAACACAATATAAGCAACACTGCACCGACATAACAACACAATATAAGCAACACAACACCGACATAACAACACAATATAAGCAACACAGCACCGACATAACAACACAATATAAGCAACACAACACCAACATAACAACACAATATAAGCAACACAACACCGACATAACGACACAATATAAGCAACACAACACCGACATAACGACACAATATAAGCAACACAGCACCGACATAACAACACAACATAAGCAACACAACACCGACATAACAACACAATATAAGCAACACAACACCGACATAACAACACAATATAAGCAACACAGCACCGACATAACAACACAACATAAGCAACACAACACCGACATAACAACACAATATAAGCAACACAACACCGACATAACAACACAATATAAGCAACACAACACCGACATAACAACACAATATAAGCAACACTGCATCGATATAACAACACAATATAAGCAACACAACACCGACATAACAACACAATATAAGCAACACAACGCCGACATAACAAGAAAATATAAACAACACAACACTGACATAACGACCAAACACATCATTCTGTTGTTGACTCTTGTTTAATTTGATCACAGGACAACTGGGCAGCCGTTAAAATTGGTCACGTGACTTTATTCCATGCCGTGGAGCCGTGCCGTAGGTAGGTTCCAGAATGTTCAGTCGTTTGGTTCTAGAATGTTGAGTCTATACTGGTTTTAAAGAGTGTGATAGGGGTGGGGCATGGGGCCCGCGGCCCACACATTTGTATGTTAGGGGTAGGGCCCACACTTTTGTGTGTGTGTTAGGGGTGGGTCCTAGGTGTATAATCATATTTATTTGTCTTTACAATTATTTTTGTCTAGCTTGTATGTAAATGACGTTGATATTCCTGTTTATTAATTGTCAGACTTCATTGAGGTATTCACTGGCTGGTCACTAAACTGTTAATAATAATGTATCGCATCTGTATGGTGTAGAGCAGGGGTTCCCAACCTTTTTTTTTTTTACTCTAGAGCAAATTCTAAAATATTGGTAGGGTGGCGGGCACCACCTATTTTAAATCGACATACTCCTTCCATAACTTGTCATTTTCCCATAATTTATTTTCTTTTTCTTATTTTCTTATAGTCATAATGTATTAATGAATAATAAACAAAAATGTTTCTAAATAATAAAATTATTTGGCTTTTTTTTTTCAAATTGCATTGACCAACACACAGAGAGGTGTATTTACAAAACGTAAATAGTGCAGTCTGGCTCGCCGCTAGACAAGTTGGGACAAGTATTGAACATATTTAATAAACCTAGGCAGTCAAAAAAAAAAAATTAAAACTGTAACAAAGGAATAAAAATAAATCATATTTTAAAATAATGTTTATGAAAAAAATTCTGTCTTTGTCGAATAGTGAGAGGCGGGCACATAAATATCGTTCAGCGGGCGCCATGGCGCCCGCGGGCACAGGGTTGGGAACCCCTGGTGTAGAGCTATAACAAGGAGATCTAGTTGCGTGCTTAAATCTTATGCCTCTCCTACTGTCTGTATTTCCTTTCAACTAGGGTTGGATGTGTTCAACAACTTTAACTAGACACATTTATAAAAAATGTAATTAGACATTTGTTTAAAAACTTTAATTAGGCAGGTGTTAAATTTGTTTAATTTGACAGGTGTTTGATAACAACCATTGAACCCACTACAGCTGAATTCAGTGAAGACAGACAGCCGCTAGCTTTACTAAAGACGTAAATATTGTCTTTATCTTTATTGCTTTTTTACCAGTATGGTGCGCCCGTATCATGTTGCTTCAGAGGCGTAGCGACCCTTCCCGGCGCCCGGGGACATACTTTCAATTTGGCGCCCCCCTCGGGAGCAAATTTTCGATTTGCACCCCCCCTCGAACTTTTCATTTGCACCCCCCCCCCTCAAACTTTCGATTTGCACCCCCCCCCTCGAACTTTTCATTTGCACCCCCACCTCAAACTTTCGATTTGCACCCCCCCCTCGAACTTTTCATTTGCACCCCCCCCTCAAACTTTCAATTTGGCGCCCCCCCTAAGGTCGGCGCCCGGGGACATATGTCCCCCCCCCGCCCCCCCCTCGCTACGCCTCTGTGTTGCTTTCATCGTTGTGTATGGGGGGTGTTGGTGTTTATCTAAGAGACTGGTATTAATTAATTTGGTATTGATTAGTTTCGATGAAACTTGACAATGTTATTCCCGACTACTATACACACCACGAACATACCAGATGTTGGACGGTATGACTTGACTGAACTCAACCACGCTGTGTCTGCACTATGACGTCAAGTTTGTGCTTGGTGACACGTCATCAGGTGTCTGAAGTATGACGTCACGTTTGTGTTTAGTGACACGTCATCAGGTGTCTCAACTATGACGTCACGTTTGTGTTTGGTGACACGTCATCAGGTGTCTCAACTATGACGTCACGTTTGTGTTTGGTGACACGTCATCAGGTGTCTCAACTATGACGTCACGTTTGTGTTTGGTGACACGTCATCAAACTCAGCCTTGTGCTCAAATATATTTTTTAAATGATGTTTTCTGGGACAAGAGTGCAATGAAATATTTCTAGAATGTTCTGGTGTTGTTTTACAATAAAAATGTCTCAAAAGGCGACACGGGCGAGTGGGGGGGGGGGGGGGGGGGGGGGTTGAACCACATTGTGTATAGAACACAGAGCCGGCGTTAGGGGGTGTCGAACGGGGCGGTCGCCATAGGCCCCGCGCTTGAAGGGGCCCCGCTCTTCAGCAATGTCATTGTTATCTGAATTAGTTCGTAAACTTAAAAAAAAATTGTTGCTGAATTCAATTGGTAAAAACTAAATGGTCGAACGCCGACGTTGTTGATTGTTATAACTGAGGCCACGGTCGATGTTGGTAAGTCCCACCTGAACTGGGACAGGCCGTAATTCGATACAAAAATAGTGTCACACCTCCCCTTTGTAAAGAGATACCCTATTGTATGTGGACCCAAGAAGACGTCCTTTTAGTGAGCCGACGGGATGTATGTAAAAGACAGTTAGTGACCTGATGAACTCTAGTCCTGATTTTCTTGTTGTAGATGTCGTATAATGTCGTATATGTACAGTGTTTCTACAAGACTTTTTTCTCCGGGGGGGGGGGGGGGGGGCACTTGAAATTTTCGGGGGGTGGGCGGTAGATTTTCTTCGGGGGGGGGGGGTTGTGGACATTGTTAGAAATATATGTTTTCTATATAAATTATATAAATTTCATTTCGTTTTCGGGGGGGGGGGGGGGGCTTGTCCCCCCCCCCCCCCCCCCGAACAGATGCCTGGAAGAAACTCTATATGTAGGCCGGTATAACAAAATTAACATTCAGTTGCCTGCAGAGGGGTGGGAGGAGGGCAACGAGGGGGGGGGCGCCTTAGGATCTAAATCAGGCAGCATTAAACAGAGTGATTTATTATTATTTTTTGGAAAAAAGTTAAAACTGTTGTTATGTTGTGTCACCTTAAGGATTCACCCGTTCAATAATTAAGACAATAATGTTTTTGGTTTTAAAATATTGTATGAATTCTAAACAAATTTTAAAGTCTATACTGTTTTGATACATCAGGCCGAGTTCGCTGTATTGTAAACTTTATTTTCCAAATTATTCGGCACATGATTAAATTTTCTTAAGTGATTTGGTATGAATGACATAACTGTCAAAAGTGATTTAATATCTTAGCAAAGGAAAAAAAAACTACGAACATTGGGTTAATACAAGGGAGAGATAAAAATCTGTTATTATAGTGGAAAGTTTGACATTAGCTTATAAACTCCAAAACATTTGTGTTATTATGTGTACATCACATTATATAGGCCTTTATACATATATATATATATATATATATATATATATATATATATATATATATATATATATATATATATATATATATATATATATATATATATAGGCCTATATATATATATATAGGCCTATATATATATATATATATATATATATGCCTATATATATATATATATATATATATATATATATATATATATATATATATAATGGAAAGGCCCCGCGCGGATGGTTGGCCCTAGGCCCCGCGTATTCCTAACGCCGGCTCTGATAGAACAGACACTTGTCTCATGGGGGCGTCGCTAGAGGGGGAGGTGTGTGTGGGGGGGGGGGGCACAAAGGCCTGACAATCTGACAAAATCCCATCCTCGAGCTACTCATGACGTAACATCCTTAGGGGGGGTGCTGACTTTTGTGACGATGTGCTTCAAATATAAACAATGAGCGAAACATACTCCAATTTAATTCATGCAGAATTGAATTATTACTTTTAAAATAAAATAAAAAACAAACAGACAGACAAACAATCCACCTTAACTTCCCAGGTTCCGGTGCCGCCAGCCGTACGGTGCTGCCCCAATATTTGGCCTCTACGTCTCGCTAGATGTCGCTGGCTCCATACAAGTCGGAGATCCGGTCTACGTCTTGAGGAAAGAATCTTGAATAAAATCTCCAGTCTTGTAGTTAGTCTTGTAGTTGGTCTTGTATTTAGTCTTGTAGTTAGTCTTGTATTTAGTCTTGTATTTAGTCTTGTAGTTGGTCTTGTATTTAGTCTTGTAGCTGGTCTTGTAATTAGTCTTGTAGTTAGTCTTATGTATTTCAAAAAGTTCTGTTACAATTTAAATACAACCTCAACCTGTCAGAGCTGGGTGAATTCGATCCCAGGAGTTCAGTTGTTTATTGAGATCTCCATGACGTTCTGGTTACTGGGAACAATGTATTGGTCTTATCTAAGTGGGTCACGTTCTAAAAACACTGTGCTGTATCAGTTTGTTTATTGTTGGTCGTCTATTGCCTGCTGAGTGGCCGTCCATTGCCTGCTATGATGGCCGTCTATTGCCTGCTATGGTGGCCGTCTATTGCCTGCTATGATGGCCGTCTATTGCCTGCTCTGGTGGCCGTCTATTGCCTGCTATGATGGCCGTCTATTTCCGGCTATGTTGGCCGGCTACTGTCTACCACTAACCCTCAATCACATTTGACCCAGATTGTGGTACAACCAGTGTTTCTTCCAGACTTTTTTCTCCGGGGGAGCACTTGAAATCTTCGGGGGGGGCGGTAAACTTTCTTCGGGGGGGGGGGGGGCGGACACTGTTAAAAGTATATATTTTCTATATAAATTATATAAATTTCATTTTGTTCGGGGGGGGGGGGGGCGGTAAAAAATTTTCGGGGGGGGCGAAGCCCCCCCCGGAGAGATGCCTGGAAGAAACTCTGGGTACAACTAATCCGGTTTCCCTACAGCATAAACCACTGGGTTTAGGTTTAGCGTATCTAATATTAACCTAATCCTCTACTCACATAAAGCTGGCAGCGTAACATTGCGCATGCGTACACATTCTCAAATCCTACAGTTGAATGGTGCAGTTTACCCAGTTGTATTTGACAGAGATGTTAGCACGTTTAAAATTAACATCTCATGGCCAGTGTTTCTTCCAGACTTTTTTCTCCGGGGGGGCACTTGAAATCTTCGGGGGGGGGGGCGGTAAACTTTCTTCGGGGGGGCGGACACTGTTAAAAGTATATATTTTCTATATAAATTATATAAATTTCATTTCGTTCGGGGGGGGGGGCGGTAAAAATTTTTCGGGGGGGCGAAGCCCCCCCGAAGAGATGCCTGGAAGAAACTCTGCTCATGGCCAAACATTTAAAGCCAACTTTCTACTTTAATAAACGGCATAATGACTTTCAATATAAGTTCCTCGCTTATTTAATTACCATTATAAAACCGCTGACAAACAGTGTTTCTTCCAGTCTTTTTTTTCCGGAAGGGGGGAGACTTGATATTTTCGTGGGGGGGAGGCGGACAACATTTTCCAGGGGGGGGGGGGGGGCGGACATTGATAAAGGTATATGTTTTCAATATAAATTCCATTTCGTTCAGGGGAGGGGGGTGGTAGACCTTCTTCTTCGGGGGGGAGGGGGGGGGGGGGGCCGAAACGATGCCTGGAAGAAACTCTGCTGACAAAACGTAAGAAAAATAATTTCAGAGAATCACCTAATCCTAAAGTGATGTTGGTTGTTAAAACATTCAGATATGGTCCTATTTTGGCTGCGTTTCTGACTAGTTTTTCCCCTAAAAATCAATTGTATGTGTTTAAACTGGAAACATTTGTTAAAAATGGTAAATCTATCTGATTTTTTTTTTAAAAAGTAAAAAAAAAATACCTTCATTAGTCCACACTATTTAGATCTAGTTCTTAGCAGTTTAAAATTATTTCGTTTTAAAAATTAACCTAACACCGTTTGTAGATTTACCTTCCTGACTTTTCGAACCTCTTGTAGAAATATGAGTAGAGACGGGTTATTTTTGTTAGTTTGTTTTTGTTTTTAATATTTTTTTCTCCTCTCTACACGGATGTCTTCTATAGTTTTTCATATCAGACCTAAGCCAGCGTAAAATAAAACAATCATTTTATGAGGGCAAATGTTAATTTCTCCTTGTTTTGTTGGTAAGCTTGTTGTGATTACATGTTGTACTGTAAGCAAGTTCTAGAGCAACCTGCCATTTGATAACGGAACGTGTAAACACTAAACATCTTTATTATCATCATTGTAGATCTAGTTTTGTGTTGCCTAATCAGAACAAGCAATACAAATAAACCATTTTGTTTTCCTTAAATTGATTATTATTTTTTGGACACCTAAATTAATCTTTAACAAAGATGCCTTGGGTGTGTGTGTGTGGGGGGGGGGGGGGGTCGTCCATAAATTACGTCTTATATATTGGTTGGGGGGATGGCTTCACACGTAGTCTCCCCTGCTAGCATTTTTAGGGCAGTGGGGGTCTTTTTGGGAAAATGGGCATCTGTATGGTTATATGTGTACTCAACTCAAGGTAAATGAAGGCACCTATACACAACATGGCTGACTAATGTTAGCTAATATGCTGTTGGATGTGGATACAAGTGACGAGTGTCACCCGATAATCCAAGCCCACCAGACGGAGATACATAATCCATGAGCTCGGTGGGGTGGTTTTAAAATACAAAGGCGAGAAAGAAAAAGAATGGTGACAATTTTTTTTTTACTCCGTTTGAGCAAAATAAACGTCAATAAATATTGTTGATGACGTCACACGCCTTTAGTGCAAGTTGAAATGGTAAGATTTTCTATAATGCTGAAGAGTTTTTAAAAACATTCACTGGCTAAACTATCCCATTTTTAAAACAAGTTAATTAAAAAAGTCTAGTGACATTTATGCGCAATTTCCTTATGTTATCTAAAAATAGCTCTGACGTATAATGCTGGGATGCGTTCAAGCTAGAAGAACAATCGGTTTGTAGGTGTTTTTGTAATTTTAAAATTTGTGACCAAACGAGAGGATATTTTTGAAAACTTTCTTCGGCAATATTGCTCTAAATTATGGCAGGAATCGATTGGTACATGTTTCAAGTCGCTAAATGGTCTGGTTGACGAGATATGGGCCAAAAACTGCTTTTTTTCGAGGTTTTTTGGCTTTTCCGGGAAATACATGAAAGAAACCCGGAATTTTTATGGCCTATGCTCATTCTTGTAACTTGCTTAACATAATTGCTTTGGAACTAGTCATCGATATTGCTTCGTTGAGGAGGAGATACGACTTAAAGCCCGGACACACATTCATCCATACATTCATTCATCCATCCATCCATCCATTCCCAGAAATGACGCGTTAATAAACGCAATTCTCCAGAATGGAAATTGCGCTAAAAATAGAAAACATTGACAGCATTATCTACTTACGTGTGATGCAACAGGGTTCACCTAGTCTGTGTAAGATCTGTCTGTCGTAGTTTAACCACTGCTCTATCATTCTTGTCTGTTGCACAGACATTCGGCACGAGCTGACAAACAGACAGACTACCCATCTTTTCTTAAAACTTTTAACATTTAAATAAAGTTACACAATTGACCCAATTAACATTTCGAAAACATTCTTATGATCACGCAAAGACAAAACACAGGGCCGATGAGGCGCAATGGAAGAAACCTTTAGGTTAACTCAAGACTTCAAGACAAGCTCTTTTCTACACTGAAACTTATGGGAGACTAAATCTAGATCTAATAAGCTTTGCTTATGCTTGAATGCATCTGTTCGGAGTAATCTTAGCACATAGTCAACATTGTGACGTGTTCGGTAACATTGTGACGTGTTTGGTTTCATATTGTAACAGGACATTCGCATAAGGCAATATGAATTAACTTATTAAGTCCCCAGTCCAGGCTAGCAGACTCTACCGACGGGCCTAATCTGCCTAAACTGTGCTCAACACAGAAGAAAAAGGTGCTTCTGTAGTTGTAATGTAAAGAAAGAAATTAGCCATTGATAGATTAATTTTATTTTATATCGGCCGTATGCATATTGTGACACTTATTATGGGGAGATCAATTTCATTCATCACCGTTTAAGTCGCCACATCATCATACCAATGTTCGAAGTGCCGGTCGCTTTCGCTGTAACTCCTTAATTCGCCTCTTCTTTCAATATTTCATATAAAGATATTAATTTGGTACTTTTTTTTAGTATTCAAAATATTTTTGTACTACTACATTTATTAAAAAACATACTTAAAAGCATATATAATCGCACAACTGAAATAACTAAATTAATTACTCTTTTACTTTCAAAACACAAAAGTTTGTCACGTGATAAAATTAAGCACATTTCCTTTTCTCGTCACCACCATAAAGACGAAGATGACTGCCCCATCAACGCCAGCAGTTGTGCAAAAAGCTGTTGTTAAACAGGTAATTTCTTTGATTGAGAGTATGTAGGAAACATTCCTTTATATATTATTCTCGAATGTGACTAATGTTAAGAATGTAGGCTATAACACGTTAAATTTAAGTCATCCCATATTTATGCTACAGTACAGCTAGCTCATGATTTTCAAATTTCACAGCTAGAATCTAGATCTAGACTAGAGTAAAGTTCCACGCGCGGTCACACATAGCGGAAAATTCCAAATTCCCGATTTTCATCGGGCGCTATTTTATAACCGTTTCACACAGAAACAAACCGAAAGCACTGTATTACTCCGCTGCCATTCTACTGTAATATGTATGAGTCATTTTGTATTCCTACGCATAGTATTTAAGATATTCATGTTTTAGTGACGTCCCTCCTTGCGATATTTTTTTTCCCTTTTTTTTTTGCCTGCGTACGCAAGAACCTGCTTGCCAACGAGCGTATTGTATACGTTTTGATCCAATTTTAATAATTGAAATAAATATTTTACACACTTAAACGTGTTGTTGATTGTATTATTAATTAATAGATTGCAAAAATAATAATTAAAAACATGTTAATTAAATTAATTAAAGACATTAAAAGTTGACCCAGTGATGACTCAAGGGACGCAACTATAATAATCATAACAAAGGGACGTAACAACCACTAAAAGACATAACGTAACATTTGCTTAGATATGCTTGTATGTAGAGACACAAACTAGATTTAGAAGAAGTAGATGATCGAAATAATTTAAAACAGCAGAAAAAAATAGAAAGTATACAGATTCTAGGCTTAGTTTGAAATATAGAGCATCTAGAACTAGGCTAGTCTAGCTCAAGTCGTTGGTTACGCAGCGATGTGAAACCACCGTAATCGACACCCAAGCTGCGGCCACCCCTATTTACCTATCAGGTTGCTTTATTAGCCTTATCTATCGTATGTACAGTGTCCCGCATATATTGTAGAAGCTATTTATAGTTAACCTAGTTATAAAAAGCTTTGATTGGTTGGTTTTATTCATCTCATCCGGGACCTAGTGTTTTTCATAGGGGGAACTAGAACCGCCTACGACGTCATACCTCGAAACTTTAAAATTAAAAAACTCGACTTCCAGAAGGAGAAAAACAAAAGAATTTGACCTGGATATATTTAGAAATGGACAGGTTTACAGCAGATATCGGTAGTTTCGTATAAAACATCAAAACAAATATTGTACGAAGCGATAAACAGGCGATGATCGCACCGGTGTTTTAACCGCGCGTGGAACTTTACTCTAGATCTAGACTCTAGATCTAGATTCTAGTGTTTTTATTTATATCAGACTAATTATTTGGGACACAAAATGTGACCACAAATAATAAAGCAGTAGGCTTTTCATTACAAATGCTGAAAAATTGAATAGACGCACCACCCAACTTAAAACTCAGTAGGCCTATTAAAAAAGCCTTTAAAAAAGGCTTACATTTAAAAGAATAGGATGGAAGTGCTGAAGAATAGATATTTAGAAATCTAGATATTAATTAGTAGGTATATAAAAACAGGTGTGTTGTTAGCAGTTTGGATACTTAGATTTTTAGCTTTGGGCCTAATGGTTAGAAATTAGGGTTTGTAGGGCTTGGGTTAGGGGAGGGGTAACATTGACAATAGCAAGTCATATTTGTATTTTGTTGACTACTTATTATAATAATGTAGTAATCAATTTAACTCTTGACAGGTGTTATCAGGTGATACAGTAGTGTTAAGAGGTCAGCCTAAAGGTGGTCCACCACCTGAACGGACTGTTTGCCTTTCAAATATAACAGCTCCTAAATTAGCAAGAAGAGCCAATCCCAATGTTGAAAGTTCAACAGAGACTAAAGATGAAGTAAGGCTCATTGTTAAGTTCATTACTTTAAAATATCAAGATAATGCCTTCATGCATACTAGTGTATTTTTATTTATCTCAATAATTACTCCCACGTAAATACATTCATGTACTTACATACATAATAGATAAATATAGATATATATATATAAATAAATATACATATATTTAAAATAATAGCCTATATATATATATAGGCCTATATATATATATATATATATATATATATATATATATATATATATATATATATATATATATATATATATATATATATATATATAATAAATTGTAAACATAGTTGTTTCTGTTATTCATCAGCCATGGGCATGGGAGGCTCGTGAGTATCTTCGCAAAAAACTAGTGGGCAAGGAAGTTGTTTTCACTGTTGAATATAAAGTTCCAGGAACTGGCAGGGAATATGGGGTTATCTATCTTGGAAAAGGTCTGTTTGCACTGATGTGTTGTTTTTTGTATTGGTTTTTGGCAAAAGTTTTACAAAATTAAACTGTAAATTAATAAAGTGAATCTATTACCAATTATTAATTTCTTGCATATTAAAAGAAAATGTTTAACCGCCATTGTCAAATGTTTTTTTTTTTATACTTCCAGATACCAATGGAGAGAATGTCACAGAATCTTTGATTGCAGAGGGTTTAGTTGATGTTAGGAAAACTGGATTGAAAAATGACGAGTTGGTTTTATTTGATTATTGGTTTTTTAAACAATTTACTGCACCAGATTTTAAATGTCCATAGTTTTTGCATTCAAATTGTACATATTGTGGTAGAACATTCTAGAAAAGATATTTACAGAGTTTTAACATTATTACCAATACAAGTTATCTATGAGCTTTCTTAATAGAGATTTAAGAATTAGCTTTTTTAAAATATGCTCTATCATGTCATTAATGGGTAAAGTATGTTTAAACATGCTATTTTAATTTTTTTTTTAGCAATGTTTCTATTTCTGTCTAGCCCAGCCCAGCAAAGGTTAGCACAGCTTGAAGAAGCAGCTCGGGCAGCCGGCAAAGGCAAGCATGCAGAGGGTGAAGCATCTAAGCACGTACGAGACATCAAGTGGGTCATTGATAATCCACGTCATTTTGTTGATTCCCACCACAATAAGCCAATAGATGGTAAGTTTCCTTCAAATTATTATGTGTTATGCTAATACTTGAGTAGGTCTCTACAACCAGTTTTTCTCTTGACAGCTGTTATTGAGCATGTTAGAGATGGCTGCACTGTGAGGGCCTTCCTGTTACCCACATTTGAATATGTCACTGTCATGTTGGCTGGGATCAAGGTATGTTCTGTTATTGGTTATATAGTTGGCTTTCATTTTGAATTTTTTAACAACAGTTATACTGTTAAAAAACTACAAACCAATGATGTATATTGGTCACCACATTTTTATGTGGACATTTGATATGGATGAGATAAAAACAGTCTTGTGTTTTCTCAAGAAATGTATGTAAAATCACATTATGTATTTTTTAAGTTTTATCCAAAAATCTTGCAACAGCTATGCCTTATGCGTTATTTACCTGTTTGGTGTTACACAATGGAAGTAAATTTTATTGAATTTATTTTATTATTGAGTTTATTATCAGCAAGCAGATGGCTTTTTAAGCTTTCATTTAACATTAGACAGTGGATTAGAATTGCTCTAAATAAAAATGTTGTTCCCAGTGTCCCATGAACAAGCAAGATGCTGATGGAAAACAAGTTCCAGAACCTTTCATGGAAGAAGCTAAATTTTTCACAGAGTCTCGGTTGCTTCAGAAGGATGTGAAAATTATTTTGGAAGGTGTCTCAAATCAAAATTTACTCGGAACTGTCATGCACCCAGTGAGTACTGATTGACAAACTATGATTCACTTTGTACGAGCAAGCTACAGGATGTCTTTTCTTGTGACAGTTGATAAATGATGATTTTATTTTGTTTCAGAATGGCAACATTACAGAGTTTTTATTAAAAGAAGGTTTTGCTCGCTGTGTAGACTGGTCTATGGGGGTTGTTACTCAGGGTGCTGATAAACTTAGAGCTGCTGAAAAGTAGGTATCTGACCAAACATTTGTCTCACTTCATTTTTGAAGAATACTTTGGCTTTTAATACTCCACAAATTTTTTTTTTTAGAATAGCCAAAGATAAAAAGCTGAGGATATGGAAAGACTATAAGCCTTCTGAATCCTCTGTCAATATTAAAGACAAGTCATTTAGCGGAAAGGTACTATTTTCTTGAATCATTTAATTAAAGCAATTGAGAACTTCAGAGAATTTGATGGTGATTTACTGAGAACAGTAGCGCTAATAATTTATAGATGTTTATACTACCTTTTACAGCTATAGTTTCTTCAAAAGATTACTCCATGATGTTATAATTTTAACATAATTTTTTTTAAGGTTGTTGAAGTTGTAAATGGAGATGGCCTTGTGGTAAAATTAGAAAACAGCTTCAAAAAAATATTTCTTGCCAGCATTAGACCACCTAGGTAAGCTTTCTTAATCTCTTCAGTGCCAAATATCTGGTGTTAAATGCAGTTCTATGCAGTACTTAGCAAAAGCTTAAAGATGTTTTTAAGTATTTTCAATAAAAATAAAAATCTTAAGACCTATTAAGGTGTCAATGTTTATACTAACAGGCAAGCTGAATCACAAGGGGACGCTCCAGTAAAAGAAAACAGTAATAAGAGAGCAAGACCTCTGTATGACATTCCTTACATGTTTGAAGCTCGAGAATTCCTTAGGAAAAAACTGATTGGGAAGAAGGTGATTATGACATTATATTCAACTAACTGCAGTCAGTTAAAGTTGCGCTGAGAGTTCAACCAGATGGGGATCATTATTAGGATGAAGCTGATTCAACAGCTCCCAATCCCAGCATCCCCATTTATGACCATGGAAGTAGATTAATGATGCTGAGTTTGACTTAATACTATTTCTTATTTTTAAGGTGAATGTTGAAGTTGATTACATTCAACCACCAAATCAAGGATTTGCTGAAAAAACCTGTTGTACTGTTACCATAGGAGGAATGTAAGTGCTTTGGTTATGTGCAATTTACAAATATTGTCTGATCTTAACCCTGGTCTGGTTAATTGTCTGTAAATTTTTCAAGCGGGATATGTTAGAAAATTATTGTAAAATATCCATCTGCATTTAAAAATTGAAGCAGAAATCATTATAGGGGAACATAGTGCTAGTTAAAATTGTTTGCATTTAAATATCTTACTGATTTGCAAAGAAAAAAATATTAAGCCTAGAAAAACTTTAAAACCACAGTTTTACCTCAATTTCAGTATTTAAAATGCTAAAACAATATGAATGTAGTCACTGAGACAACTTTTTAATATTACTATTATATTTACATTATATTCAAAGCCTAATTTATCAAAGTGTCTTATACATTTTAAGTTCAATAATTATATTGCCAGTAGTATCCAAACACTTTCTTAACATTTACAAATTGAAGAAAATTTAACAGCTAGAAATAGAAAAAGTTCAATAAAACAGTTTCCTAAGCCACACAAGAAAATACTTGCCAGCTTAGGCCAGTATGGGGTTAAAAATATCATTCCTTTATGGATTTGCCAAAAGTATTTGACATATTGTACAAACTTGTTTAAATTAAGGTTAGTTTTGTGAATTTATTCTGTGACTATATTTTGTTGTGAATATTTCAGCAATGTTGCGGAGGCGCTTGTCAGCAAAGGTCTGGCTACAGTGATTCGATATCGTCAGGATGATGACCAGAGGTCCTCACACTATGATGAACTGTTGGCTGCTGAAGCAAGGGCTGTTAAGAAAGGAGTGGGGCTACACAGTAAGAAAGAAGCTCCGATCCACAGGGTAGCTGATGTTTCAGGGGTAAGTTTTTATACACTTTGTCACGTTTGGAGGGACTATAGACATAAAAATATCAATCAAATGCAATTTTAATGCAAGAAAAATCAAACATTTGCTGTGTTAAAATTGTTTATGTTTTGAATTTCAGGATGTTCCAAAAGCCAAACAGTTTTTACCATTTTTACAACGAGCTGGAAAATCAGAAGCTGTTGTTGAATTTATTGCTAGTGGATCTAGGTTAAGATTGTATCTACCCAAGGAAACCTGCCTCATCACATTACTTATCTCAGGTAGTTTTTACAGCACCCTCATCAGACATACATTGTCAAATGTCTGTGTCCCTTTGTATATCCTTTCCCCCCAGTGTCTTGTTGTCAGGCAGTTAGGGCAGGTAAATAGTGCTATAAACTGTTCCAACAGGAATTGAGTGTCCTAAAGGAGCCAGAGGTCTTCCAAGTGGTCAGAATATTCAGGCTGAACCATTTGGTGAGGAGGCCTTGTTGTTTACCAAAGAAATGTGTCTTCAAAGAGAGGTGGGTCTTTATTCTTCTGTCTAGTTCTTATTGCATTATCCTTTCTCACATACACTTGTAGTAAAGGGAAATAACTTGTTCACTGTGATGACTTGTGCACATCTTATGAAAATTGAAACTTTCATCTATGCAGACATTTACATCCAACGCTTTGTCTGAGTTGAACCAGTTTTCTTTTAGCTGAAGATATTATTTTTAGTTTTGTCTAGTTTCAGTATTGATGTTACCAGTTTGTGCCTTATTTCAGGTGGAAGTAGAAGTTGAAGGCATTGACAAAGGTGGCAACTTTATAGGCTGGTTGTATGTTGATGGGGTCAATTTGTCTGTTGCTTTGGTAGAAGCTGGTCTTGCCAAGGTCCATTTCACTGCAGAAAAAAGCTCTTGCTACAAAACTTTACTGGAGAAAGAAGCCAAGGCTAAAGAAGAAAAATTAAAAGTAATCCAGCTACATTCATTTTTTATAAGCTTTACTTACAGTTCATTATGATGATTAATCCCAATTCTTATTCAAACTTTTTATAGTATATGCAGACATATACATCCAACGCTTTGTCTGAATTGAACTAAGCAGTGCACAATACTCCTTTTTACTTGTTTTAGTTGTGCTTAATTTAATTTTATTTTTAGATATGGGCAGATTATGTGGAAGAAAAAGAAGTGAAAATAGAAGAGGAGCCAGCAGAAAGAAAGATCAGCTATAGGAAAGTTATTGTCACAGAAGTCACAAATGAACTTACTTTTTACGTTCAGAATGTTGATAATGGTTAGTAGTGCACGTTTTCATTTGAGTTTTTTTCTTTCAATGTTTTATTGACTTGAACAATTAGTATTGAGTAAAATCTGTTTTCTAAATCAATTTGAATAGTTGTGTACTAGTTGTGTAAGTTCATGTTTAGATCCACTTCTCTTTAGTTACCTGACAGCCCATGGAACAATTGAAGTAGAGTTTACCTGTTTCTGTGGCCTAAATTGAAACATCAGAGCTGGGTGTACTTGAGATTTGAACTGGAGGCTTTTGTGGTTAGCAGTCGTACGCTCTACTATTCAACCACGCCATCCCGTCCCATCCACTTTTCTTTACAGATTACTTAACCTGACCTTAAAGCAGCAAGTAACAAATGACTAGTCACTATCTATTGTAGGGTCTCTGTACGTGGTTACACACCATCTTTGTATTGCAGGGTCTTTGCTTGAGAAGCTGATGGATGATTTGAGACAAGAGATGGAATCAAACCCACCACTACCTGGATCCTATGTGGCTAAAAAGGGAGATCTGTGCACTGCCCGCTTTTCAGATGATAACCAGTGGTACAGAGCTAAAATTGAAAAAATAGAAGGCAGTACCGCAACAGTACTTTTTATTGATTATGGAAATGTAAGTCTAACGTTTGTTGGGTAGAGGTAAAGTTTTGAAATAACACAACAAAGTATGCATGTTCAATAATTTTTTTTTACCAGAGAGAGAAGACCCCAGTTTCTGGTTTGTGTGCATTACCATCAAACTTCAGGACATTACCTCCACAAGCCACTGAGTATTCTCTAGCATGTGTCACTGTTCCCAATGATGTAAGTTTTTAAAACTTTTTTCTGGCACTTTGATAATCTCTGTTTTAAGTTTATGCTGACATCAAAGATGGGCTCAATATTATATCTTGATACCAATAATACTTTAGAGCCAACCAATTTCTTTATTAATTTGTAAAACAATTTAGCTTTGCCTGTTTTATTCAAAAGAGGAAAAAAAAATCACTGATTTCATGCTTATGGAGTGGGCTAATCATATAATTTTAATGAAATCAGATATTTTTTATTGTGTAGGTTTGAATTGTTTTCATGACAAAATGATCTACCATTTTAACAGGAAGAAGCCAAGCAAGATGCAGTTGATGCTCTCTACAATGACATAATAAACAAGACAATGCTGTTGAACATTGAGTATCGTGGAAGCCCAGATTTTGTGTCATTGAAACACTCAGACACAGAAGATGATGTGGCCACAGGGTTGGTGACTGAGGGTTACATGACAGTTGAAGCACGCAAAGAGAAGAGACTCTCCAAGTTGGTTTCTGAGTACCAGAAGGCCCAGGAGGAAGCTAAAAGATTGAGGGTGAGTAACTACAAATACTACATTCATCTTCTGTAAGGAACTTTATTTTTAAAGGACTTAACAATTCAAATCCTGTCTTATTGAACCTCTTTAACTCAGCTGATACAATATGCTCATATGAATTTACTTTTATTTTTGAAAATGAAGAAATCCATCACTGATTATTTTCAGAAAAACCTGTGGCGTTACGGAGATTTCCGAGAAGATGAAGCCAGAGAGTTTGGGTATACCCGCTAGTGGTGGGAAAAATCTATGCTAACACGAGTTCATTCTAGTTTTCTAATTTGTCTGTGTTGTTGCTAGTTCATTATGCAGTCAGTTCAACACCATTCAGCAATTTGTACAACCACACTGCCAGCTCCCCATGGAAATCAGTTGATGGGCTGTGTACTGAGCTTAGAACAATGTAGACTGATGTCTCCTACACAAGTACTCGCTAGGCATTTTAATTAATTTATAATAGAGCCATCTTCCTACTCTATTACTTTAAATAGAGCAATGCAGTCAGAAAATCTTTATTTATTCATGTATCCCTATTGTCCTCCCTACGGAGGTTTCCTCCAGTGTAAGACCTTTTTGGTTGTTTGCCCAGGACATAAATTTGGTGAGGAGTGTAACCTTTGACATTGTTTATGTTGACTCAAAGGAATGCAGCATTGTTGTTAAGTTTTCTTGTGCAAATGTGTAGAAAGTTTGTTCCAATCAACTTACTTTATGGATCTCTTGCTGAAACCTATTGACATGTTTTCTGACTGTATTCTGCACTCAAATGGTTAAGGGAATCAAAAGTTTTAGCACAGCTAACTAACGAGAGCATGCATTTTTCATGTTTTATCTTTAAGTATACATGCAACTGTGAGATGTTTTAATTGTAAAAAAATATTGCATTTAGATTTTTCTTTTGACAGGATCAAAAATAAATACACTTGTTTTGCCAAATAAATCTGTGCTGAAACTAAATGTGTTTTTGTTAATATTTGAAATATAGTAACAGAACAGCTTTAAAATAGGTATTCAAAATGAAATTTTTATAATGAAATTAAATAAAATTTAACACTTCCACCTGATAGAGACTGTTTTCATCAGAACAGAAACACCAAATTTATTGATGTATGTCCATTTTTAAAAAAGTTATGAATTTTTTAAAACTTAAAAAATGCGTTCGCTTTTTGAACAGTAAAGGGTCTATTTGAGACCCCTACTAACTTCTACAATAACTAAGTTAGAACTCTCAAATTTCTTGCACACACAGCCAGTAATACAAATAGCAAACCCAATTTTTTTCAAGGTAGTCAGACAGATATAAATAGAAAATTTATTCACATAAAAATGAGCCAAAGCACAATTTTACCGAAGTACGAAAAGGGAGACAAAAAGTTAATTTACAGTCATTTTTAAAAAATCATAGAAAATCAACTAATTAAGCCACATTAATAATATAAATGTTCTAAGAAAGGAAATTCAAACCATGTTAATATAAAATAAGCAGGTAAAGAATTAATAAAGAAAGTAATTAGCGAGACCAGATTCAGCAAGGTCAGTTTATAAAAATTAGAAATTTCATCCTTTTTCAAAAAATTATTAAAAAATATTTAAGTAAGGTATCTTAACAAATTTTACACCAACTTAAAGCACATGATGTTCTTAATATATAATAAACACAGAGACATAAAATAATCATTCTGCAAAACAATACAAGGCATCCTTCCTTAACGCCCAAAATCAAGAATTTTCATTACCTAACATCTTGCAAAAAGTGTTCTTACTTTTAAGAAAGTAATATAAATTGTGTAGGAAACATGTTAGCATTACTTTGTTATAAAAAACTAAATAACTATACTACTTCTTTACTTATATACTATAATAAGAAGAAATTCCATGCATTTTAAAAACTGACGAAGTAAGATAACTAATTAAACTGAAATTCTTTTTAAATTACCCTAATAGAGTTGTGATGTTCATCTAGTTTTGTTACTCTGGTTCCTAATCATGACTTGTTTAGCATAAATTTACTTGTTACTAGTATATTTATTTCTTCTAGTTAGTTATTGATCAAAGTCAACTTCTGGAAATGTCTAGGTCCTAACTTATACAATTATCAGAAATCTTAGAGCAGGTTCAAAAAGACAGGTCAATATCCTGATTGGGAAATTTCTCTATGAGGTTGGGTAGCATTGTAATTAATAGTCAATATCCTGGTTGAGTTTGTCTTCTTCAAGGTTACAGATCAAATTATGGAATCTAGTAAGGGATCCTTCCATTGGTCCAGAGTATAGAAAATGTCTGTGAATAAAAACAATTAATTAGCATTTCAAATATACTGACTTATATAACAGGCCTGTATATCTTTATACCAACTTAAATATCAATCATGTAACATTACATCATTATAAATAATAAGCAAAGTGCATACAATACTAACATTTGACATATGGTTTCCTTCAAAAGTATTCAGGAGTCCTGTTGTTGCTTTCACAACAATACAAAATTTTTGGTAGGCCAATGAGTTTCCCCTTTCTTTCATGTTAATATCTTGCTCTGTAAATAGAATAATAATAATATTAAAAGTAAGGCTGCTCAATGCTTTTTAGATATTAAATGTAAGCACTATAGATAGTTATACTACTAGATCTAAATATTAACATGAAAGCAATAGTGAATCTAACTAATCTAAGTAGATCTAGACTAAATCTAGAAACAACTTTGGACTAAACTATTATGGAAGGGGGGCTACATGTTATTTTAAGTCACCTTTACAATAAATCTAGAGATAAAAAATTTAAAAGATCGTAATATTCTAAAATTTAATGTAACTACTGCACATATATAGAATAGTTAACTATGAAATTAGGAAAGACAAAAAGAAAACAATGCTACAATAAATTGAAAGTATGCTGTTAACCGCTGCGGTAATATAATAGTTGAACCCAACACTACGAGAAAGTAAAAAAAACATGGCGGACAATCGGCTTGAAATATCGACAAAATATTGATAGTTTAATCGGCCGATGTTATTAACTAACATAATTTACTAAAACAAATTAAATTCTATCATCCTTTTAAACATCTTTTTGATTTAATTGCGCATTCCTTTTTTATTTCAGTGACCATAAATTAAATACAACTGACTTTTAAAAAAGGTTAGATAATTTTTTGGAAATTTTTTTTTTAAGCGTGGAGCAATTACCTATAAGCGGACACTAATATTCAAATGTATTAAAGCAGCAGTTAATCATAAATAAATAGAATATAGCTAGTAATATAATATGCATTCAACTTACCTGCACGTGTTTTTAAATCCACCGTAATCAACGAATAAACACAAAATCTTGCTCTGAACCGAGGTCGGGTGTTCCGGAATTCAACACAATCTTGACTCGAGCCGGCGAAATTTAGATGCGGGTCGTCGCGATTTGTATACATTGGTTTCATTTACTGCGGTCCGACCCCATACATGGAGTGTTCATTAAATCGTAACAGTTTTATGGCAAATTGGATGCCCTTTCGGAATATACAACTTTGGCGGCTGTAAAATTATTTTTTCATGGAAAAAAATCATTTTAAAATTTTAAATTGAACATTTTTAGCATTTAATTATATTATACAGCTGGCAAAGTTATACCATCTTACAGAGCTACCATTCTTCTTTCTAAATCAGTGGTTTCTAATTGCGTATGTATTATGGGGTCGGACCGCCGCGCGATGCCGCAACGCGACCAAAAATTTTTAAAACCGGCTTAAATTTTTCGGCTCATTTAGAATACCTATTTAAAAGGAATATTTTATTTCTCTCCTTCCTGGAGTAACATTTAGGAATGTACAAATTCCTTATCAAATCAGTGTTTCCACACACTCCACACCATGAGCTCAACACTGCAACATTCATTCTGAGTCAAGCAACACTAACAACTACCCCACATTTGGTCCCAACATTTTTTCTGTTAGCTCAAAATATTTTTACATTCGAACTTGGAGAATTAACTGATCCAGTAGAACAAATACCCTTCCCCCCCCCCCCCCCCCCCCCCCCCCCCCCTTACAAAAAGAATCAGGTGGCAACACAAATTGATTACAAAATGAACTATCCCAGCAACTTTACTAACAAAAGAATGAAACATTTTAAGTACAGTAAATAAATGCCATCATATCAGATGCAAAATGAACTTATACAAGAATGGATGCAAGAACAGCAAGTGACAAAGATCATAACAATTACTCAAGTCCATCAGGTAGCTAAGTAAGTCAGAGTAATGAATTGAAGCAGAACCTAAGTAACAGTTTTGTAATAGGAGTCACCATGAACATGTTAGGCATTGGCTGATGTTTCCTTACTAATCCCAAATTTGACAATTTTAGCCCTCAGCACTAATTTCTGTTTTGACCACTTGACTGTAAGACTTCCACTGTTCACTCTTTAATTTCTCTTTGTCCTCAGCAGCATCCCCAGATCCTGAATTATGCCCTATATCACCATTCATTTTGACAGCAGATGTTGTGCTCTGACCCATGACAGAGGCTACTTTTGAGCTAATATCATGTAACAAAACTTTAGAGTCCCATGCACAAGTATACAGCTGTGATTTGCTTGACCATGTAAGACCATGCACAAAATCTTTATGAGTACAGTTGCTATAGCTGGGGAAAAAATAAAGTAATTTCAATATTGGCACATTTGAAGTGTTATTGTAAAAGCAATGAAATATGATGCCAGTATCAGACAAAGCGTTGGATGTTTGCTGTAATCACAAATGTCAGGCAAAACTAGTCATCATGTTGGCTAACATAAAGGTGTATCTTATTTGTTATAAACAATCGATGATAAAAGTAGTTTGTAGTAATAGGAAAAAAAAGTAACTACAAACAATTTACAACTTTCAATTATTTAAAAACACAAATAAAATGACTTACACTTCTTTCATGCCATTTTCATCAATGGAAGAAACAGCAGCTTTACAGTCTTCACTGACAGATGCTATTAAACTGGTGCTGGCAAACAATGATCACATATGAAATAACTTCTTCATTCTCAAATTAAAATATAAACCATTCCAATTTTTTAAAATATAAAGAAAATGAATTCTTTTACTTTAACAATGTAACATTAATATTTACAAAAACTTCAAATGTTATTTCAAGACAATATATAGCTAACTAATGAGTGGATTATTTAGACCCTTACTTTTCAGGATTGAACTGCAGGTTACATACAAGCCGTGAGTGTGGTGTAATGGTAAGGTAGTTGTGCACACCAAGCCGCGTGTCCAGTATTGCTATCTGACCACTTTCTGTTCCCACCGCCATCTTGTTCGGATGGTCAGGCTGCCACCTAACACAGGTTGGTGTGTACTCTAGAGGGGATTTGTCTGCAACAGTACACAAACAGTGAACAACCATGAGAAGATAGTTAAGAAAGATTCTAGATGAAACTTTTGCTGCATAAAAAACATTTCAGACAAAGCGTTGGATGTTGATGTAATCAGTTCTCAGGTCAAAAGTTGTCATCATCATGTTTTTCAACAAGTTTAAATAATCAAATTTGTTCTCAGGGATAAGAGGATTTTATATATAAATATTTCAATATCTATTATTTATAATTACACTACAGAAAAATGAAAAAAATATTTACTAAGAATGCTAGCTGGTTTTTGCTTGCGTCTGTCCCATACCAATATCCTATCATCCTGAAAAATAAGTATAATTACTTTTATTTTGTGCTCTAAAAACTAACAAAAATAATTACACAAATGGTAAATAAGTTATTAAATATTTAAACTTAACTTTAATTTTAACTTCTGTACCAGTAAAACAAAATAATACCTTGGCTATAAAATAACATAATAGGTTACCTGAGAACATGAGACAAAGAGATCTGATTCTGTTGGGTGACAATCTACATTATACACAAGGTCACTGTGTGCTACAGAAGATAAAACAAACAAATAAGATCATAACAACCTAAAAAGTTCCTGACATGGGCTAAACATAATATGCCACTCAGACAAAGCGTTGGATGTAATATGTAATCATATAAAATCAGGATACAAATGATCATCACTGTGGCAAAATTAATTATTATTTTATAATAAAACATATCAGGTAGATGCATAATAAATAATAATACACAAGAACACATTCTAAGGTATTGTGATCCATTTTTAAAAAAATATTGTGAAGCATTATTAACATTTTGGCATTTCCAAAATGGAAGAAAATAAATACAGCAACAAATGCTTTGTCATGTAAAATAATGTTTAAGTAAGATCTTTCTCAATTCCTTTTTTTTCATTTCTTTAAACAGGCAGAAACCTAAAGAACCTTAGAAGGCAGAGACAGGAACCTCAACCTCTACCCCAAAATTTTGTGTCTTAGTAGCAAAAGCCTACATAAAAACAGCAATCTTACCTTGATATGAATGCAAAAGTGTTGTGTTTGATAAATCCCATAATTTAATACTGTGGATAGATAAAACAAGTTTTACTTGACAAAAACATTTTTCTGTCGATGTCAAGAGTATTGTGAACACAATTAAAACCAGCTAAATGTACCTACCATCTGTCATGGCCGCTGGAGGCTGCCTTGGTTCTATCACAAACAACAGAGACACTTGTTACAATACCATCATGACCAGTAGCTGCATGGGACAGGACAAATGTGTGGTAGTCGTCCTCAAGGCTCCACACAGCTATTCCACCTGAAATTGGACTTGATGTCAATCTTCATGTAAAGAAAACTCAATACAAATGTTTGGTGTCAATGTCCTTTGGAAGGAAATTACATACTGTAAAACTACTGGAAGATGCAAGAGTTCTGGAATTATTGATACTTTTCCTAAATATAAAAGACTAAAAACATTTGACTGTAATAACCCTGTACTGACCTGTGTCTAGCCCAACAAGAACATGTGTATTGTCCACCCACTTAGCATCTCCAATACCAGCCTCCAGCTGCACCCCAGCTGTACACCTGTCTACATCTGGAGCTGCCTCAGGAGTCTGATAGAACCATAGTGAGCCTAGCCAGAACCTTCCAGTCAAACAAGATGCTCCAAGTAGTAAGCCTCCATCTGAGAATAGTCAGACAACTTTGTACTCTAATGTAAGATATCATCCTGTTGTTTGCTATTGCTGACAGAGCTTTAGCAATTTATTTAATTATCTAAAATCCTGATGAGGTATTACTGAGAAAATGCATGCCTCAGGGAAGTGACAGATATTAAAGTGTAAGAAGTCTAAGATGAAATGTTTGTGTAAGTTATCGCTAAAACTAGTTTCTTCACGACCTGTGACAGAATTGTAAGACTTTAAGATGAAATGTTTGAGTAAGTTATCACTAAAACTAGTTTCTTCATGACCTGTGACAGTGTACAACACAGCAAACAGTATTGTAACAAGAGACTATCTTTATCTAAGAAGAGAAAAAAATATCACCATTGTAATATCTGACTAATAAATTATCTCACCAAAGCATTATCAGGGGATAAAAAACTACAGGTAGCACTTCCTGGCATGATTTCAAGTACAGAAGCCAGACCAACAGGCTAGAGCTTTTCTAGATATATTTTTCTTAATCTTATAGATAAGTCTATTACTTGTATGTTGAATGTAATAATAGTTCCATACTGAATTAACACATGCCACTTTGTAAGCCAATTACTAAAGGAGCACGAGGAACAACTGCTGCCTAACTATTCATGAAATACATTGTACAATAAGCAGAATATGCCACTCAGACAAAGCGTTGGATGTGGTTTATAATCATTTGAAAATCATGATACAACTGTCATCACTGTGGTCACTTAATCATTAAATGTACAGATTTTAAATATTCATTTTGTACAATATTTAAAAAGATATGTAATGTACTGTATAATTTCTTCAATAAAATATGGAAGAAAATGAATATGTGAATAAGAAATAAAACCAAACATAACCATAGTTAAATGGAACAAAATAGGATCAAATCCTCATGTAAAAACACATTAAGAAAGTAAGTCCTGGAGCATAAACTGGAAGGAGGCAGTAGGTGAATGAAGTAAACAATCAGGTAAACAAGTCAGAGGGGTCAATGATGAGGTCTGATACTGGCATTCTGACAAAGTAATTTTAAAACATACATATTTTTTATATGTATTAATATAAATTAAATGTCTTCTGAGCTTAAATGTTAACCTAGCAAGCTCAGTTTACACTAGGGAATCAAGTATAGGTAGTGGCAAATAGAGGGCATCTAGTACATGCTTTAGATATAACCACCAGCCCTACCAGTAACCTTTGACCTGCACATTGGCAAAGTTTCTACACAGATGCCTGATTTCATCAGATATTTCTAGAAGAGAATAGTCAGTTGGCTGGAGCTTACACAGGTGATGGTTATCATCAATGCCTGAGCAGATAAGATAAACCTTCACAGAATATCTAGCAGGCCTGGTCTGAAGTCATGGTGTTATCCAGTGAAAACAACTATACACTAGCAGACATTTTGTTGTATAACCTTCCAATGAGACACACATTGTTATTTACTTTCCTCTTAAGCAGACATGCACAAGTTATCAACTAGCAGAAACTCAAAAAATGATACTTGAACAAAATGTGAAGGGAAAAAAAAATCTATAGACCTATAACAAACATAAAACTAGAAATTTGTTATGACATGCAGAGAGGGGGGACAGGTGTCTGGAACCATTCAGACAACACTATTACAAGTATCTATGGTACAGCTCAAGAAACCAGTATCTACTAAAATCAGTAAAAAAAATATCTGAAGGTGGAGACAAAGAAAAGTCCCGCTGTGAGACCAGGAGAGCCCAAGAAACGGGGAGGTGGCGGTTTATATCTAGTGAGTAGTCTGCTCACGCGTCGACCTGAGCTACAGGGGAGGGGGGGTGAAAGTACATACACCGGGAAAATGCCTAGGCACTAACATGACCAGCTTAAAATAATAAACCTTTCACACCACGCTACAAAGGTTTCAGACTTCGATACATTTTAAAAACAATTTCTTGTTTGAACGAACTGAGAGTTCCTGCTCTGACTGGCCATTGTCCATCAAGTTAACAAGTTCATTTGACCAGGAAAAGTATGGAGTAAGACATGTAAGGCCTACAGGAGCACGTGTGGGGAAACAAACCCTTTGTTGCGTCATCGCGAGGTAGCGCGGGGGAAGTGTATGTGGGCCAGACATACACGGGGGATGGTTTACATCTTGAAAAAAAACAAAGGTAAACTGATCAAAGTAAGATGAGCAGACTATGACGTAGTGCTACACGTGTTCTTCTACGCGTTCAAGTCGTGTGACCAAAACCCATAGAATACTTGCTATACACATTTCCACTACTCATTAGTCTAGCGTATTGTATATTTACATTCAATTAAAGAAAAGCTGCTAGCCTTATACACGTTACGTGGGTAAATGTATCAATATTGACTACCCTGGGTATGAATAGAGGGCGTCAGTTGAAACACGGCTTAGGCTCCAATATTCTCAAATGTATTTCTTTTTATTACTTTGAAACACTATCAGATTCAAGTGTGTGTTTAACCACCAATGTTACATTTATCGGGGCACATTAAAAACACGTAGGAAATACTAGTCTGGGTAGGAAGAGACGTGACGCGTGGGCCACATGTAAACACAGGTAGATGTGTATATAATTCATTGTTGAAGGTGTGAACAACACAAGACAACGGTGTTATGCCTACATGCATCGCGTGTGTGTGAGGACGTCTTGATGGCAGAGCATTGCCTACAGTGAACCCATATTGGCCATATGGTATGAAACTTACTAATTAATGGTCGACGCTAATACCAGTTTAAAAAACAAGAGCATCATTCACTAGAGTCCGTTATAGACATAGACCTGACACAAGTGGCTTGAGAACGATCAACGACAAACCGCACGATTTGACTGATTACTTTCAATACTTTCTTCACTCAAGACTCAATACTCGATATAACAGAATGAATGATGTTCTGACGTAGACATAAATCATCCAAGTAAAAAGTAACCACTAGCTACGCGTGTCGTATTTCGATTAAATTGGTCTCATATAATAAATGATGTATACGGTGCCAGTATAGCTGAGCGAATCAGGTCGGATAATAGGGGAGCCGAAGTATAACTACATCCGTTTTATTGTCGAAATATAACTACATCCGTTTTATTGTCGAAAATTAAAATATTATGTTAACAAAAAAGGCCAATAAATTGAGATTGAGTGGAGTAAGGCCGGTTTATACATGTTCAGAAACGACAGATTGAAGCAGCCCAACAAGTTACAGAGAGCCGCTGACCTATACGAATCTATTTAACGTTGTGAACAGTGGATGCAGGCTGAATTATGGGGGAGGGGAAGCAGACATTAAAGCAGAGTGCTAACAGGCTACGCGATGAGAATTTTTAAAAAAGTCCATGTTAAAATCTGAATTCTTTGTGACACAGGGGCGACTAACCTTTCGATGCCCACATCGGTGACACAGGACGGACTGCTCTCGCAAGGAGAGAAATTAATAAGTGTAACAAAATACCAGCCAGCACAACTCACATTAAAAAACACACCCAAACCGGAGGGGAGATACACGAACAAAACGGGAGACACACGAACGACCGCCAAAAAAAAAAAAGATTCTGTGACTAGCAACCTACGAGCCTATGATTAGACAACGATACACTAACCCGTGGATTACTATTATGCGAATCCGCGTCTGAACATCAAACACCACATGAAATAGCGGGGAACAATCACCCCATTCAAGTTTAATTAACTTAAAAAAAAAACTCCCTTTAAAAACAAGTGATCAAGGATCATAGATTTCCCATGGAAAACTAATTTCAGCTTTATCTAAGCGACATGAGACCAGAGCTTTAAACAATTTGTCATGACTGTCTACGTCTTTTGTTTATAGACAAGGAATACAAGTTAAATAAAGAAGGGAAGATGGAGAGACGATCCAAGTGATATTTGATAACAGAAAAACAGGCAAATGGGAAGACTGTACGGCGGACACATGAACTGAGGGACAGAGGCTAAAATACAAGTACCATAAGGGAGAGATTTTTTAATGTCTTGAAATAAGCCCAGCCAAGAAGAAAATTATTCCTCGCCACGTCTGGGAGACGAGGGGGGGGGGGTGGGTAGGGGTGGTGGAGGGTAGGAAGATGTCGGGAAAGCAATAAAACGAAGAAGATGAAGAGGTTAGCAGACCACTAACAAGGTTTAGATAAGACTTGGGAAGGAAATATTTTACTTCTCGGAAATGGTTTTGATACATCTTAAACAAAGTGAAACAATTAGCATAGCTTAAAGCGGAGCACACATTTACAAGCTGAGATTGACAAATAATAGACTAGATTTAGAAGACAGGTCACCTAAACACTGATCGTAACAAGAGCTAAATGTACCGGATCACAGGGGGCTTCGAGCCTACCGTTCAGCACAAAGATAAAAGAGTTACTTCAGTTACGGCGAGGTTCTAACAACTCCAACCAAGCATGGCCTCTGTAACCAGACAAGTTTTTGAAAGCGGTCACGAAAGTTATTATTCGTATATATATGGTGCAACTAGACAACCAGAGCCGGCCTGTGATAACAGAACGAGGTATTTCTATATTAAAGAAAGCCTTCCGGTAGGAAGCACCAGCAAATCTATCCAGACGGCACAGTTAATGCAATAAGCCGTGCTGTGGCCCTCCTCTCTCCCCCACATTCAATATGGAAAACGCGAGAAATAAATTAGCAGCATGGTAGATGAAGTTTATTACATTGGGAAACCTCGGCATATTGTCACAGTTAAAAGCTCTTGAGGTGAATGGTTGAAAACAAAGGTGTCAGTGTAAGCTGTATCTGAAATGTGCAAGCCTTGGGCCAATAAATAAAGAGGAGACACTGTGTTACACATGTTGTAAGACAATATATGTGTGAAAGATAAGCTATTCACCACAAACTCTAGCATACAGCAGTATTCAAGAGGTTTTTAATGTCACTACCAGCCAGACATTACTAAATGCTGTATTATGGGTGTGAAGTAGAGGGGGAAAGGGCAAAGCGGTTTATTTTTAGACCAGGC